ATGAATCGTAATGTAAGTATCTGATATGCAGGATGCATTTTCATTGTTACACATTGAACATAATTAAAGCATAGTGATTAATCACAAAAACAATATGTAATTATATATGTGTTTTCCGATGGTCTTAGGCGACCCCTGTGAAAGGGTCGTTCGACCCCCAAAGGGGTCGCGACCCACAGGTTGAGAACCGCTGCTCTAGAGGGTGTTGGCAGTGACCAGTCTTGGGTAGCAGGCATCTCTCCCCATCCCTGCGGATTAGAGGCTCCCACAAATGGCTCAGAAGGAAGTGGGGCTGGGGCTCCTCGTCTCCATCTTTCGAACAGGGAAACTGAGGCCCAGAAGGACAAGCGAGCTGGTAACCGAGCTGGGTGAGGACCCAGGTCTTTCCACTCCCCATGAAATGCTCCTGGTGCGGCACCTAACTGCCATGTGAGCATTTCAGGGTGTTTCAGGCCAGAGAGGGTGATGAGCCCCTGTGGGCTGGCAGCCAGCAAGTCCCAGGACACACGCCTGCCAGGCAGCCAGAAAGCAATTTCCCAGTGTGATTCTTGCTTTTCACAGCCCATTAGCACGTTCCCACATTCTCGGCCATGCTGGACCCACTCTCACCGAGCCCTCTCCATCTGTCAGTGGGAGAGGTTGGACAGCCCGGCACGGCCTCCTTCCCGTGCACATTCATGCCCGCACACCCCCCGGGGCAGGCTGCTGTGTTTGGGGGAGCAGCCCCTCCTCACCACGGCCCCCACCTCCTCTCCTAGCTTGCTTCTTCCCTGGGCCTGGCAAACAAGGTCCATTTTGTTTCTGATGATGCCAGCTGTTCGCAGCACCTCGTAGGTAATGATGCCTATAAAAGGCGTTGTTTCCTGAGCATTTACTGTACTCCAGGGACTGTGCTAACCCATCGCGTACCTTATTACCATGAGTCATTGAGAAAACTGCACAGGTGGGCACTGCTCTTAGCAAATTTCACAGGGCAGAAAGGGGCTCACCGAGGTTAAGGCACTTGCCAGTAAGCGGCTGAAGCACGATTTGAACTCTGCTTGCTCTGGTTGTGAAGAGCCTGTCATCCACATAGAACTTCACTACCCAACACGGGATCATTCGCCACATACAGTTATTTCCGTGAGATAGAATGCAACACTCAGACCTTCAGTCCTCTAGCCCTATGGCAGGTGCCACAGTCATAGGAAGCTAGCGACTGCCCATCGGACAACGCAGACTCATTCCATCGTCACACACAGCACGTTCTGCTGGGCGGCGCTGGTGTGGAATATTAAAGATGGAAAGGCCTCTGCTAGTTCGCCTCCTCCAGACCCCACCCCCATGCTGCAGATGAAGACACTGAGGCCCACTGATGCCATTCCCCTGCCCAAGACCTCCCAGCACGACGGAGGCCTGAGATTCTGACCCCCAGTGTCTCTCTGTCTCACGCGCACCCCTCCCTGCCCACATTCTGTGACCCTCTTGATAACGTGGATACACGCTTCAGACCCAAGGGTGATGCATCTGTGCTCTGTCCCACCCAGAGCCACAGGGCACTGACAGGGCTGCCGACACACACCTGTGAGCAGACACGTTTCCTCGACCCCTTTGCACCCAGGACACGTTCCCAGGCACTCCCAGGACCCTCCCACGACACCCTGCACTCACACGGAGCCCTCACGTGCAGGCCTCATCCCTTCCTCTTGGGAGCCCTGGTCACTTCCTCCACCCTGCCCTCCCCACCTGGGCCTCCTCCCCTCTCCCTCTCTGTCCTGTTTCCAAGATCCTGCCCACCCACTTGCTGGCCACCTGCTCAGCTCAGGGCCGGGGGAGGAGTGGGCTGGCTCTTCTGTTTGCCAAGGCAGCTGCGCTGTGGCCACTCGCTCAGGCTGGACCAGAATGCAGAAGCATGCCCTTCTGACGCAGAAGATAAAAGAGGAGGAGGTTAGGGCAGCAGGCTCGCTGCCCCCGCTCTCATTCTTCCTACAGATTCCCCCTGCCCCTCCTGTCCCTGGTCCCAGCCCCTGGGCAGGCGCGAAGGAGCCTTCCCACTCTGGACGCAGGTTCTTTGGGGCCTCCGTGCTCAGAGCCCCCTGTGACGCCCACCAATGCTGGTTTCTAGGACGGGGCGGGCATCAGGCGGGACTTCCCCAGAAGGTGGGCAAGACAGTGCCAAGCTGGCTGGGACAACATGTTAGATTAAGATACAGATTCCCTGGGCCCCACTCAGAGGTCTGAATGGGGCCTTAGAATACACATTTTTAAAACACCCCCAAGGGGTTCTGAAGCAGCCAGTTGGAGGACCACTGATTTAAGGTCTTTATCTAGAATGGGGCTTTATTTCTCTGGTGGGGAAATTCCCTCCCTCCTCCCATAGGAATTGAACTCCCGCTCGGACCACGCAGGGCCTGCGTGCTGGTGAGCAGCACTGAACACGGCCCTGCTCGGGAGCTTAGCGCCTCCTCCTTCGCGGCCCTGTCTCCCCCTGGAGATCTTGGAACCTTTCCCAGAAGTCGCCACTTGCACTAGTCTCTCTCCTGGGGCCTTTGAAAATGGTGGCTGAGCAGGGGACCCGGGCAGGGACCTGAAGATCTATGAGTCCAAGCCCTGCCTGAGGAGCATGGGTACCTTTGAGAGGCACGTTGGGCCCTATGTTCCTCAGGCGCCTGTTCCTATTCCTGACACCGTGACTGAAAATCCTCTCCCTAGCTCGTTCCAGTCCGTCTCATTGTTGCTCAGATCTACCTCCTGTTCCTGCAAGTGACACCTATGGGTAGCAGCCACTGGGTACCTGGGCACGGGGGTGTGGAAAAGCTCATTCAGGCCCTGGCCCGCGGGAGCTCACTGTCAGCTGGGGAAGACAACCTGACCAGCAGCCACACACGTGAGCTAGAGGGGGAGTGGGGGGGGGGGCTCGGTGTCTGGGAGAGCAAACCAGAGGCTCCGTCACGGGAGGCTTCCCAGGGAGGGTGACCGGGTCCTGCTGCTTTACTCTGGGTGCAGGACAGGCGGGGGCTGCACACCCTGGGGAGGGCCTGTTGCTGTGCGAGACTCTCCATCTGCCCGTGAGTTCTGGCTTTCTCCAGCTTCCTCCCAGGTCATGCGCCCCAGTCTCCAGCTCCCTCCCAGCTCTTTCTTCCCATCTTTCTCCACAGCGTCCCACCATTCCCTGCAGGCTCCCTCATGCTGCCCAGACACAAAGCCGGTGACACGATGCCCAGGGTCTGTGCAGAGAGGGCATCTGTGCCGGCCTGCTGGCTTCCTCGGTGCCTGCCAGTGTCCTTCTCTGTCCCCGCCAGCCACACCTTGGTGGCTGGGCCCTGCTCGTATGCTTAGGAGGGGGATCAACATTTGGAGGATATGACGGGGTGCGCCCACGGCAGGAGCCTGGACGTGCAGGCCAGGAAGCGGCAGGCTCAGTGGTGGGGGAAAAGCCAAAAACCTGGGAGCGCAAATAGCTGAGTTCTTGATGCGGCCCTGCCTGGCACTCGCTGTGTGACCTGGTGCAATCTGCACTGAGCTACACGGAAGCTGAAGCTCTGAGTCCCACTCCAGACTGAAGGCATCAGAATCTGCATTTTAGCAAGACACCCGGGTGCTTTGTATGAACCTTAAAGATGGGGAAGCCTGCCCCGCAGACCTGCTTCTTGCCATTAGTCAGCCTGTGTTCAGGGTGGTAATGCTGGCGACCACGGTCCGTTCCAGCCCCCCAGCCGCCGCCTCTGTGATGGGAAGGGGTTGGACCAGATGACCTTTGTGGTGGAGGGTACAACACGGCACCGAGGTGCCAGCTCTAGCCTCCGACTAGTTTTGTTTGGCCAGAGACTATGTTTATATTTAAAAAGAATAAGGTGCCAGTATTTAAAAATTGAGACATTTCACATAAATACTTCAAATTCTCTTCTAACCACCAATAATTAGAAGATAAAATCCCAGGAACCTCCTAAAACATAGAAAAAGATGCCCAGTCTTACTCTTAGTATGAGAATTACCAATCAGATCTACACCGAGTTGCCATTTGTTATCGGTCTCGCGAACAAAGATAAGAAAGTTTGGTAGCACACCATGTGGACAAGAGTGGAGGAAAATGGGCCCCTCACCATGAGTTGGTACAATCTCTAAGACGGAAAATCCCTCATTATCTATCAGAATTACCAAACAACACCTACTCTTTGACCAAACAACACAGGTTCTAGAAATTTATCCACAAACACTTGCACACATGGGAAAAGTAATTATAACACACACGTGGAAGGTTAGTGGTTGCAGCGGTGTTTGTAATAGCTACAGGTTGGAGCTAACCTGATGGCCCGTCAGCAGAGATTGGCTAGGTAAACTACAGCCATATGATTAAATACAACCTTGTGAGGAGCTCTTTGTGTAATGGAAGGAGGCTCACCTAAATATCTAATGGAAAATAGAGGATGCAGAACAGCTTGCAAGATCCAGTAGCATTTGCATGGGGGAGAGTGTTTGGAAAGATGCTCTGGTAACGCTGGCCGTCTCTGGGGAGGGGACCTCGGAGACTGGGTCCAGGGGTGAGAGGGAGTCTTTTCACTATCTACACTTTTGTATTTTTTGAGCTTTGAAGCATGTCAATGTGTTACCTATTCAAAGAAAAAAAAAACTAAAGACTTTCAGGGACCTAGATTCTGAGAGGGAGTCTTTTCACTATCTACACTTTTGTATTTTTGAGCTTTGAAGCATGTGAATGTGTTACCTATTCAAAGAAGAAAAAAAAACTAAAGACTTTCAGGGACCTAGATTCTATGATTCTAACACTACGTGATTCTAATGTTTTATAATTTGGTGAGTCGAACTTACTAGGCCTCTGGAAGGCTCATCAGCCATGGTTCTCCTGGGTCTCTGTCCCTGCTATGTCCCTGGAGCGGCCACAGCATTCCCTCTGAGCTCGAGCAGTCCCGAAGGAGGGTTCCCTACCCACCACGGTGAAGCTGCATCAACACCAGCATCTCCTGGGCCTTCCCTCACCCACTTTGGCTTCTCTGTCCTCCTAGGGGAGCCTTCTCGGTGGTGCGCAGGTGTGTGAAGGTGCTGGCTGGCCAGGAGTATGCTGCCAAGATCATCAACACCAAGAAACTCTCAGCCAGAGGTAGGTGGGAGATCCACGCCTTCCCACCTTGGGGGGGTCCCCTTCCCTTCACCCCTCCCTCTACCCCTTGGCTTAGAACCAGGACCGCAGTCTGTCCCCAGGGGCAATGCTGCGGGCAGGGATGAGAGCTCTTCTGGTGGGTGCTATGAAAACAGACCCCTCCATTTTCCTCCCTTATGGGGTCTAGGCTGGAGGCCGCAGCCTTTCTGATAGGCCAAGCTCTCTGCCTGAACATCCAGGTGAAGGTGAGGATGCCAAGTGGGACTTCCTTTCCCTTCTTTTCTGCCTCTCGCCTCCATTCTCACCTCCAGACCTCTGCACCTGCTGTTTCCTCTGCCCAGATGCCCTTACCTGGCTCCTTACAAGGCTGGCTTCAGGTCACATACTTTGAGAGACTTCCCTGACCCCCAAATCTGAGGGCGTCTCCCCCATTTTATATCTCTCATTACTGTTTACTTTCCTGTGGCTTCCCTCCAACCCCCCCGCCCCCCCCATACACACACCTGGACTTAATCCATTTACTGTCTTGGTTCCTTGTTTAACATCCATCTTTCCTCCTGACTAAGTTCTAAGAGGGTAAGGATGGGTCTCGTTCCCTGTGACATACTCAGTACCTAGGACAGCGCCCTGTACAGCCAAGGTGCTCAGCTAGTGTCCATCAAACTCCAGGTGCTCGGCGTCAACCACACCAGCCTGATCTCCGGTCCCTGATGCTCCCTGGGACAGTGGCTTCCAAACCTGTGCTCACCATGGAATCTCCTGGAGAGTTTCAAACACTCCTGATGCCTGGGCACTCCCAGGGGTCGTGATTTAATTAGCTTGGGATGTGTGACCTGGGAAAGATCCCCAGGTAATTCTAATTTGGAAGAGATCCTAGACCAGCAGCAGCAGCATCACTAGGAGATTGTTAAAAATGCAAATTCTTGATTCCAGACTTAAGCAATCAGAGTCTGCATTTTAACGGCACATCCGGGCGATTCACGTGGACGGTAAAACTTGGGGAGCCTGCCTAGAAGTCTTGCTTCTTCACTGTAGCAGGTGACTAGGGCAGTCATGGTGGTGGCCACGGTCAGGGTGTTGGGTGTTGGTGAGGGTTCCCTTCAAAGATTCCATCCCTGGTCTGAACAGCTACCTGGGGGGGGATCACTGGGTGGTGGAGGGAATTCTGGCAGGTGGCACGGTGCAGGTGTGGGCTGTGCAGCCATGGCTTGTGTGGTGTGGGAGACACCGTGTGCTGTGTTAGGGCTGGCATAGTCCAGCTGTTTGCCTGGCGCAGGCGGCCACTGTGTCTGGGCTGGGGCCCAGCAGGTGTGGGGTTCACGGAGGCTGGATCAGGATGTTCCCGCAGTCCCCCGCAGGCCTTCCAGCAGGCCCCGTGTTAGACCTCGTGTTGCTGCTTTTCATCTCTCCGACTCAGTGTGGTTGGGAGCCCAGCACTTTCTCCTAGTTACCAAGCTCTTCTATAGGCAAACCAGTGTCCTGCAGGGAGAAGAGGCTGGGGGTGGGGTGGGCGGCATTCTTTGAAAGCCCAGGGCCCCTGGTGGCACATGGTCAGCATGAAAGCCCATGTGGAAGGAAGGGAGAGACCTGTCCGACGAAAGGTCTGGGGGGGGGGGGGGGGGGGGCCAGGACAGGCAGGAGGGCCAGCCAGAGCGCTGCCTCCTGTCCAGATGGTGGAACTGGCCTTGCTGTTGCTGGGTGACTAGTGGCAGCCTGGTGCCCTCTGTGTTTTGTGTCTCTGACAATCAAGGGAGCTGTCCCAACCCCTGAAAAATAGTGGAGGCAGGACCAGAGTTATGACTTGGGGTGACAGGTTGACGTTGCCTTGAAACAAGGGAGGATCAGGAACCAAGGTCCTTCCTGGATGCTGGGGGTCTTGAGTGGGTTCAACACACACACACACACACACACACACACACACACACACACACGTGTACGGGGGAGAATAAAGAGAAATTGCCTCTTTTTCAGAAGGTGACTAAGCATTCCTGGGCAGTGTATGCAATGGGCTGTGCCAGGCAGTAACCGCCATGCCCCCTCTTTTGATTTGTTGAACCTTTGACCTCCTGGGAGGAAGGTGGCCCAGGCCTGGGGGAGCATGGAGGGTGGGAGTGGGGATGTTCTTGGGGGAATCTTTCCAAAGGAGCCTGCCAGCTGCCAATGCTTTCTCCCCAGCGGGAGGAGAGCAGGGCTCCTTTTTGATGGTTTCTTTGTTTGCTACTCAAGGTACCTGGGGCGGGCAACGGTTTGAGACTATTTGGCAATGCACGTTAAGCTTCTCCTTGGCAGCTCCCGGCAGGGGACTGTGCCCACCTGGGGTGTCTGTCCAACCCCCATGGAGCTATGGCTTCCCCTTCACTGGGGCAGCCTCTTCTATCCAGCGGTTCCAAAACCCAGGAGATATTTGTTGTATGTATTTTTAAAATAGTTTTTTTCAATAAAATGCTCATAGGATACACAATTCCAAGAAACCATATAGACATGAAATGAGAAGTAAAAATGTTGCCTGTCCGGCTCCCTGCCAAATCCCCTGGGAGCCTTTATAAAATTGCAGCTGCCCTGGGCGGTTCCACCCCCGGACTTGGATTCAGTAGGTGAGGCCCGGGCTCCGCGTTGACAAAACCCTGTCAGCGAGTATCTGCTCGGCGAAGTCCCTGCCAGGGGCTCTGTGTGCTTTCCAGCCCCAGCTCACCGGGCACACCCAGAAAGAGCTCATTACCATGGCTGGGCACGTGGGCCCGGCTGGTGCAGCCAGAGGTGACTGGCCTGGGTACAGCGACCTCCATAGGCCTCACTGTCCACCCTGGCACTGAGGGGCCACTTGTCAGCTCCCTGGTGACCAGCCTCCGGACATGGGGTGGGAAGCAGGGCCTGTGCTCATTCAGCTGCCCCAGAGCTGCAGGCCCACGTGAGGGAGCATCTCTCCTGTCCTCCTCATCTTCCTCCCACGATGCCTGGCCCTCAGTCCTCGGAATTATTTCTCCAACCTCCCAGGATCGGGAGCCCTGCTGAGACCCATGGAGGGTGGGACACTTCCTGTCCCAGACTCGGAGGCCTATTTTCTCTGCTGGTGCCCGTGCCTCTGGTCCCAATCCCGCCACCCACCTGCCTCTGGAGCCCATCTACCCCTGGAGCCCACCTCAGCAGGAACCTGCCCCTCTGCAGGCAGAGAGCCTGGAGCTGCCTGATTGTATCCCCGCAGCGCCCCCCCCCCACCTCTGCTCTGTCCCACCGCACCCTGCTCGCCCCCGTAACCTACCCCCACCCACCCCTTCCTGCTGAGCTCTGGGCAGGGCTGGTCCCCACAACCCCAACATCCTGGAGGCCTGCCCCCAGGGAGGGAGGGGGAAGGTTCACAAGGCATGTTGTGGGCATTGGGGGCGACCCTTCCAGGGCTGCAGACTTGCTTCCCTCAGACCTCTCACCATCGTGGGACTCTGCTGAGCTGGATGAGTGGATTTAGCAATGAATTAATTATTCGAATGGGAGGCAAGATGGTGTAGTCTTTGTGAACATGGATTGAGGTCCGAGTTCGGCCAATTCTTAGCTCTGGGATCTTTGGCCAGCTGGGCTCTAAGCCCTGGGAACGCGGTAGTGACTGATGGACAAGCTCTTGCTCTCATGGCACCTGTTTTCAGGAAGGGGGACCGAAAAGAGCATTAAACACAGAGAGATAAGCTGGGCAATCTCAGGAAGCGACGAGTGTTGTGAAGAAAATAAGACAAGGTAACGGGGAAGTGATGGGGCAGGAGGGACACTCAGAAAAAAGAAGGATGCAGCCATGAAAAGGCCCAGGATACGAGCATTCCAGGCAGAGGGCACAGCAAGTGCAAAGGCCCTGAGGTGGGAAGGGTTTGGTGTGCTCGAGGCTCAAAAGGAGACCAAGGTGGCTGGAACTTCAAGGCCAAGATGAGGCAGGACCCAGCAGGGTCTTGGCTGTAGTGAGGAGTTTGGACTGTATTATAAGGACATTAGGAAGCTGTTGGGGAGTTTGAAGCCTGGCAATGACAGGATCTATTTTGTATTTTAACTAGAGGCCTGGTGCACAAATTTGTGCATGGGTGGGGTCCGGCTGGCCAGCCCCGATAGAGGCCAATTGGGGCCAGGACAGTGAGGGGGAGGGGCCACAGGAGGTTGGCCAGCCTGCTCCAGCCCTGATCGGGCCGATTGGCTGGCCACAGTGCATGTCATAGCAACCAGTTGTTCTGGGTTCTGGTCATTCCGGTCATTCCGGTCGCTTGGCTTTTATATATATAGATAAGAGCTCCTTGGCTGCTAAGGACTTTTGACAGATTAGGGCTAGAGAGTGTGTCCAGGAGTGGATTCTCAGAGCTCTGAGTTCTAATAAGGCTGGACCATCTAGCTGAGTGAGTTTGATAAAGTGACTGCTTCTTTATCACTGTGCCTCAGTTTCCCGATCTACATAACAGAATGAGGCCTTAGAGGTCAAGAGAAATACAATCCCTACATTTCTTGAGGTTTTCTGTATAGTATTAGAAAATGAGAACATTTTCAAACAGAGTTACAAAAATTGTGTAACATGTATGTTTCTATTCAAGTTAATGCTTTTAGCAAGTGGCAATGCAGTGTAACTGTCCTACACACAAGATGATTACAAGATTTATAAAAACAATTAGTCCCTAGCATTTCCTGCAGTGAGGTCTGGTAACCAGGCACAAGTTAGCTGCATGACCAATGGTTTCTTCTTCCATTCCTGGGCATAATTCTGTTCCTGGCTAAGCTCACATGGAGGAAACACCGGAATTCTGAATTTGCCCCTCCCCATGTGTAGCCTGAGCCAGAAGGCCCCCAGCCCCCTCTGATAGGCCCAACTTTGACCTGTCTGATTTCTGGCTCTGCTGGAGATGGAGGGATGAAGGGACAGGGTATGGAGCAGGGGGTGGGCCCAGCCTTCCTCGGTAGATGGGGATTCCCCTCCTTTGCCTTGGCATTGCCCTTCCCCCACCCTAAAGGGTAAAGAAGGAGGCTGGGAGGGAAGGGGAGTTAGGGCGATGCCCCTGGGTCCACCTCCCCTCCTTAGCCTGCAGCTGGTCGTTAGCTGGGGAGTTGAGCTTACACTCTATGAAAACTTGATTGGATTTAATTGCTTTGCTGATGGAAAAGCCACATTTCAGTATTGATCTTGGCTTCTGCAGCCCTTGGAGGATGGCCAGTGATTGTTCTCATGGAGGGGGCGGGGAAAGGGGGGCTGGCTGCCAGGGGGCAAGGGCTGGGACTCCATCCTCATCACCCTCCCTGGTGCTTACCTGCTCTGAAGAGGCCCTTGGGAGACCAGGGTTCTAGTCCTGGCTCCACCTCTGAGTGTCTTTGTGAGAACCCTCCCGTGGGGCTCGATTTTCTCCTTTGAGAATGGGGGGCAGGCAGAGGTGGTGGAGATTTGTCAGGGCGTGGAGAACAGTATAGCACAGGGCTTTAAAGCTCACTCCTAGAGTCTGGCTGCCCGGGTACAACACATGGCTCCACTGCTCACCATGGGTGTGACTTTGGGCAGGTACTTACCTCTCTGAACCTCTGTTTCTTCCTCTTAAAAGGCAGAATGGTAATTACACCCCCTCAAAGGGTTGCAGTGAGGGCTTGACAAGCATATAAAGCTCTCTGCACAGTGCCTAGCACATGGTAAATATTCTACATTTGTAATTGGCTCCGTTTTATTGGTGTTGTTTTTTTAATTAAGGCATTAACGACTGAATTGTGTGTAAAGCACCAGGAAAGGAATTAGAAAATACATTTCCAGTCCCAGTTCTGCCACTGATGAGGCCCCGGCTTCTCGGGCTGCAGTTTCCTCATCTGTAAAGTGGGGTCAGTGATGCCCACGGCCAGGGTGTTGGGAGGACTGAATGGGGTATGACTTGCCCAGCAGCCTCAGGGGGCAGATCCTGAACCAGGCCTCTCTCCCAGGTGAGTGGGGAGACCCAGGGGGTTTGGACAAAAGTCCTGGAAGGCAGGTGTGAGAGCTCTGGCTCAGCCACATACAAGTTCTACCCTGCATTTTTTGGGGGGCTCTCTGTGTCCTCTGCACAGGAGGTGTCTTCTGCAAATTAATACAGCTCTTCTGCAGAGAATACCCACTCCCTCAGAAAGGTTCACTCATTTCATCATTTGTTTTTTTATTCAGTTATTTTTTGAGCACCTACTATGTGCCAGGCATTTGGGTAGATGCCAGGGGTACAACAGAGACCAAGTCTCCGTACTCAAGGGTAGAGATATCAACGAGAAAGAGTGAGATGTGCTATCCAGGGGCCCTGAGAGCACAGAGGAGGGGCCCACCAGCCTGGCAATCAGGGCAGGCTGCCAGGAGAGGGCGACATTAAGGGTGGGTAGGAGTGAGTGATGGCCAGTGAAGGACCAGTGGGAGGTTGAGGGGGAGTGTTCCAAGCCAAGAGAATCGCTGTGTGAGGGCCCAAACGTGAGAGGACTGAGCAGGGTGTGCCCAGAGGAGTGAACTTCAGCGGTTCGTCTGACGGGAGCATCGGGTGAGGGGCAGCGCTGGAGGAGGGGCAGCAGGAGCCTGGCCTGGCTTCATGGAGTTTGGGTCCAATACAGGGAGGGGCTCAAGGATGCTCTTCCTTTGAGGCCCTGGAGCCTGAGGCCCACAGAAGGGAAGGGACTTCTGCATCATTGCAACCTGGCCTCTCTCTCACTGCCCGGATAACCCAGAGCTGTGCCTGAAAGGGCCCGGGGCTGCCCTGGGAGATGGTGATCATAAGAGGCTGTAGGAGGGAGACATGGAGAGGGTGGAGGCTCCTCCTCACCTGGGACTCACCTGGGCGTCTCTCTATCCCTGTTTCAGACCATCAGAAGCTGGAGCGTGAAGCCCGCATCTGCCGCCTGCTGAAGCACCCCAACATCGGTAAGTTCTTGAGGGACAAGTGAGGGGTGCAGGGTGGGGCTTGGCCCTGCTCCCCTGCCCATCTTGGTGTTTTTTTTGTTTTGTTTTGTTTTTGCTGATGGGGTGAGGAGGCAGCTGCTCTCTTTTCTGGGGATGGCGGCAAGGGAGATGGGAAAAGGGGGTGTCTTTGATGGTTTCCACATTCTTCAGAGACCAGCTTGGTTGGGGGGAAGGTGAAGAAGGGGCCCTTCCTCGCAGCCCACGCTGCCGGCAGCCTCCTTCAGAAAAGCTGTTTCAGGAAAACTCCCGAAGCCTTTCATCTCTCTCGAGAGACAAAAATAGGCCGAGCTTGGCCTTGGCCAGTGCAGCCCACTTCCCTAACCCACCCCCATGCTGAGTCAGCCTGGCACGGTGGTCCTGCCCATCTGCCTAGCCCTGTGGCTGGCCTGCCCCTTCAAGGCAAGCGGCAAGGTGGCCCCTGCCCAGAGATAGAATGCATGCAGGTTGTGTGGAGGGGCGGGGCCCAGGGCAGGCCGGACTCTCCTCCCCACCCCAGCACAGTCTGAGGGGCTGTGTCCCTGCCCATCAGGGTTCGGAGTCCTGAGGGAAAGAAGTACAGATTCTAGATATAGTTCTGCAGGAAATGGCTGTGTGACCTTGGGTAGGGCCACTACCCTCTCTGAGCCACTTTCTCCCACCTTCACAAGGAGAGTGCTGTTGGAACCACCTGAGCATTGTGTTAACAAGTAGATTCTGGTTCGGCAGATCTGGGTCTGGGTGGGGCCCAAGACTTAGCATTTCTAACGTGCTCAGCGGCAATGCCAAAGCTGCTGGTTCACAGACCACACGCTGAGGAGCAAGGCCTCGGTGCCCTCTAAGGACTATTCCCACTCTGACAGCCACCACACCTTCTCCCTCCAGGGAAGCGTTTCTCTGTGCCCAGGGCCCCAAGGGTTAACTCTTCTGCTGGAGAGAAGCATCTCCATCTGCTATTTATACCCAGAAAGCACCTCCCCTTCCCTGGGCCTGGGAAGGGGAGCAGGGCCGCTCAAACAGCAGCAGCCGTGGAGGCTCCAGCACCAGAACCAGAGAGGGGCAGCTGGCGGCTGGTGGGAGGAACTCTGATTGGACTCTGGTCCCTGGTCTGCTCCTGGCCTCACCGTGTGGCACCCTCCCATGCTCCAATTCCCCAACGGTATCTCGGAGGAGGTTGTGAGTGATCTCCGACTACAACATCCCACAGTTCCTATAAAGGAGGTGTGAGTGTGTGTGTGTACGCGCGCGTATGTGTTTTGCTACTTCATTGCCACTGTCTCAGGTCAATGCTGCCTCCTCCGATTTGCACCCCATCTCCCTCTCATTCCCAGCTATAACGGGGAGCAGTAAGTATGGGTCCTGGGGCTGACAGACTGTAGCTCTCTGTATCATTACCACCTGCAGACCCCAGAAGACCACCCCAAGGAGCAGGGGACACCCTGAGGGTGTAGCAGGTCATTTGGGATGCCAGGCACTGTGTTGAGTACCTTGCCAGCACCCTTGCTATTAAGAGAGGAGGCTCAGAGAGGTTATGGAATTCACCCGAAGTTACACAGCTTGTAAGAGGTGTTGCTGGGAGGTGAACCCAGCAAGTCCGACTCCAGGGCCCTTCTCAATCATTCTATTTAGCGTCCCAAGTGGACCTCAGGGGTGTGCTGTCAAGGGGGGACATGTGGATAGGGGGAAAAGTACTTCCCTTCAACTTCTAAGAGGAAAATGATAACTGTTAGAACTATGACAGGAATGTCAGAGATCCGTGAGTTCAGCCACATAAATGAAAACTAGGTTACAGAATGTTTGTTCTATGACAATGTTTTAAAAATTCAAAAAAGTGACAGCATAATTCACTGGGCACAGACATGCCGATCTCTGCACCGGGGGTGGGACTGTCATGTAGCCCGTGGTCCATGGATTCTGCTGTCCTCCTGGGCGCTGGGCTGAGCTTGTCCACAGGGAGGCCTCTACCGATGGGAGGGGAGTTAGAGGGGAGGTTTTGTATGTGAGAACAGCAGTGAGGGAAGAGGCCCTGTCTGCTGGGCTCTGAGCGGTGTCAGCCACCCCCCAGGGACCGAAGCTGACTCCAGAGTTCTCCCTGGATCGGGCTGGAGTCCAGCCCCCATTGCTCGCCTGGCTGCTCAGAGGGGCAGCCTTTTACAATTAGCACAAAGGCACCGTCTGAGCTGAAGTCAGCTCTTCAGAAACAAAACCCCCACCCAGTTCTGTCCATTCCCTTGAACCCCAAGGACCCTCTCTCAAGGGGCTGAGGCTCCTAGTGAGAGGGTGGACCTGGAACCCCATCTCTTTGGAGCTCCCCGCAAATGGCTGCTGGGGCAGACCCCAGAAGGCCTTTCTGAGATGGTTCTGGCTGCAACTTGGCTTCTTGGAGCTTCTCACGCTCAGGAAAGGGAAGTCAAAACCTCTCCCACCTGCTGGAGCAGAGGAGGTAGGAAGGAGTCTATTGCCGAGAGTCTACCCAGTGGTTCTCAACCTTGGCTGCACATTAGAATCACCTGGGAATCTTTTTAAAATCCTGATTTCTGGGCCTCACGGATGAGGCCCAGAAATCAGGATTTTAAAAAGATTCCCAGGTGATTCTGGTCTACCCAGAGGAAGGTGGGAGAGAAAAGGGTCTTTTTTTTGGTTGTTAATCCTCACCTGAGGATATTTTTTCCATTGATTTTTAGAGAGAGTGGAGGGGAGGGGGAGGGAGGAAGGGGGAGAGAGAGAGAAAGAGAAACATGGATGTGAGAGAGGCACATCAATTGGTTGTCTCTCGCCTTGGCGGGGCCAGGGATGGAACCCGCAACTTAGGTACATGCCCTTGACTGGGAATCGAACCGGAAACCCTTTGGTGTGTGAGCTGACACTCTAACCACTGAGCACACTGGCCAGGGTGAAAAGGGTCTTTTCCCACCCTTGGCCTTGATACACTAACAATGCAAGCTTATTGTCCATAAGTGAGAAGACAAATAATTTTAAAAGTATCTCCTATAACCTCAGCATCTAGGGCTAAGACTGTATGATTATGCTTCCACATGATAGCTAATGCCTGTACCTCTCAAGGACACCTATACATCTCTCCTTGGGTCGGGTTTCCTTGAAGCAGAGCCCGAGGCAGGGATTTAGGTACTTGTACTCCCAGCGGAGACCTGTAAGGGATGGGGATGGGGGAGCAGGAAGGAGAAGGGGAAGGAATGGCCTGCGGTCAAGTCTAACTGACTTAATCCCAGGTGAGGGGTGCAGTGGGGAGGCCTCTGGAGCATAAGTTCCATCTTGGAGTTGTCCCTCCTTAAGGCAAGGAGACTGGACCTTTGCAGCGACCTTGCCTCCTCACGGTCCTCAGTCATTGGCTGGAAGCTGCAGGTCACCTGCTGGGCAAGGTGGCTCCCTCAGCAGTGGGCAGGTCTCCAGAAAGGAAAGGCAGCTGTGTGCTGTGAGCAGGCCGCCTTCCCAGCAGCGGCAGGTGGCTGCACCGTCTTACCGAGGGGGGCCGGGCAGAGCCCCAGTGCAGGGTTGCTACAGTCTGCACACAAAAAATGCAGAATGCTTAGTTCAAAACACATCTACCTTCTAAAAATGAAGCCTGCGTTTGCTTTGACGTGCATTCAAAAATTAAAATCAGTGAATGGATGGAGGAAGGGATATAAATATAGTTAGGCAAGTATAAGGAAACATTAATGGTAGAACCCAGGTGGTGGGCACATGGGTGTCCACTTGACTATACATTTAAAATTTTTATAATAAAATGTTGATTAAAAAATCAAAACAGGATTATATTATATGTCCTCGGAGGCAACCTGCTTTTTAGCTTTGCTTTGAAATAGATTTAAAGCATCTTTCAGGCATTATTTATAAACATATATAATCATTTAAGAATTAAACATTTTTAAAATTTAATCTTGTGTCCCTTTCCTCCTCCTCCATCTCTGGTCCCCATCTCCCCTTTCCCCGGGGTAGGCACCCAGTCTGGGGTATTTGATGCCTGTTTCTCCAAACTTTATGTGCAGATATGAGAGCCATAAAGAATTTAGGGGATTCAGTATTGAGTCAGAAATCCATGCACGTGGCAAAAATTCCAAAGGCATTAGGGTTCACAGTGAACAGTAAGTCTCACCTATCCATGACCCTTGTTCCTCCAATTCCCCTCCCCAAGGCACCCCAATGCCCACATCTCCATCTCCTCCAGGGAGACTTATGACATATACAAGCTTAAAAGCATCCTTGAGAAAAGGACAACGCGCACAGTTTTGCATTTTGCTTTTCACCAAACAACATAATTGAGAGCTGATTCCGAACGAGTGAATAGATAACCGCCGCGTGATCCTCACAGCTGTGTAATTTCCCATCGTGCGACACATCATAATCCTCCGGCCCGCACCCGCTCGGTGCACATTTCTAGGTTGTGGCGCAGGGGAGGGTGTGAACCTGTCCAGGGAGAACCTGCACTTGGCTGGCAGGGTGCAGGCCCCCGAGTCAGCCCCAGGCCTCAGGCCCCTTGTTTCAGAAGCTCAGGGGTTATTTTCGGGAGCTCTGGGCTCCTGGGAGCCTGGCTCTGTTCTTGGTCAATGAGGTATGAAGGGAGGACAGTTTTTCAGCATGCCAGAACTCGGGGACTGCTGTCACTGCCGCCTCCACATACTCTATTATCTGCTCAGACCTGGAAGCAGATTGGGGATATTCACTTGGCCAGGGCCAGCGCTGAGTGAGCACCGACTGTATGCTTCCAAGTCCAAGAGTCTCATTCTCATTGTCCAGGCAAGGAACGAGAGGCTCAGAAAGGTGTAGCAACTTGCCCAAAGGCACACAGCCAGCAAGTGGCAGAGATTGGAGCTACAGGATCATTCCATGATGCTTGTCTGCCCAGAAAGGAAACGGAGAGGTGGGGCGTGGAGGAAACCAAACTTTGACCAAAAAAACAGGGGTCTGGCCCAGCCAGTGTGGCTCAGCAGTTGAGTGTGTCGACCTATGAACCAGGAGGTCACGACTTGATTCCCAGTCAGGGTACATGCAGGGTTGTGGGCTTGATCCTCCGTTTGGGGTGTGCAGGAGACAGCCAATCAATGATTCTCTCTCATTATTGATGTTTCAATATCCTTCTCCCTCTCCCTTCCTCTCCGAAATCAATCAAAATATATTATATTTAAAAAAAGGGGGGGGGATCTGTTGTCCTTAAGCCCAGGCCCTCTTGGCAGTGCCTGAAGTGAGGGAGGCCCTGTTCACCTGCATTTGTCAAAGCACTTCGTACCTCATTGTGCTCAGTGACTGAGGAATAGCAGTGTTGCTGCCGGAGGGATGAGGGAGGGCAGGGGTAGGGAGCAGTGTGCTCTCCTGTAACCGGCTGCCTTGGCTCCTCCCGCAGTCCGGCTCCACGACAGCATCTCCGAGGAGGGGCACCATTACCTGATCTTCGACCTGTGAGTTTGGGCCCATCCTGGGATGTACAGGGCACATCAGGGCGGCCCGAGCAGGGAGGACTTCTCTGGGTCTCAAATGCCCCCAGACTGGGCTGAACTCCCTCTCCTGATAGACTTTCCTAGAAGTGGCTGCAAGTTGGTGATCCTGAAACGCCAGCACATTAGCTTTGTCTCTATTTGTGGCTACCGGTGATAGAAAGTTCCTTTTTGGAATAATGTTAAAGTTTTGAATGCCAGTCGACTGAGTGAAAAACCATAATTAAATGAGAGGCCTGGTGGTTCCCGGGCTGGCAGCGGCTCTGTGATGACACTGGTCTCATTTGTAAAAAACCCCAACAGCCCTTGAGATGTTGATAATGGGGGAGACTGTGCATGTGGCAGGGACAGCGGTGTGTGGGAAACCTCTGTGCCTTCCTCTCAGCTTTGCTGGGAACCTAACTCTACTCTAAAAATAAAGTCTATTGAACAACAAAACCAAGACTCGGCCCTTGGGCTTCTAGGAACCTAATGAATCCTAGTGATGTGTTCTGAGGGCCCCACCCTAGCTCCCACCTGGGCTTGGTTGGGGAAGAGCCAGGAGTGGGAGGGAGGGCAGTGAGTGGAAGGGTGGGCTGGAAGCCAGGAAGGGGGTTGCAGCAGGGGACATCCCTGTGAGTCCCTCCCTTTGGGGCTGAGGTTCTGAAGTCCCCAGGCCCCGCCCTTAGCTCCCTGGAGACTCTTCCAGCAGAGGCGGCACCTGGGGCCTCTGTGGGAGGGTGACGGTGCCTGTGTCCCCAGGGTCACCGGCGGGGAGCTGTTTGAGGACATCGTGGCCCGGGAGTATTACAGTGAGGCTGATGCCAGGTGAGTTCCCCATGTGGCCTGGCAGGGCATCTCGCCTGCCAGCTTCCCAGGGGGGGCCGTCTTCACCTGGTGACGCCTGCCTTTCTCTCCCCAGTCACTGTATCCAGCAGATCCTGGAGGCCGTGCTGCACTGCCACCAGATGGGGGTGGTGCACCGGGACCTGAAGGTGAGCCACCAGGGACCGCTCCTCCGCCCCCTGTCCTTCCGTCCACCTGCAGAGCCACCGGTGGTGTCAGGTTCCCTTTAATTTCCCCTTGTTGGGCTGGAGGGAGAATATTCCCCTCACTGTTCAGATAAGGAAACTGGGCTTAGGGAGGTGGAGCATCTGGGCTCAGGACCCAGGCCTCCCGGCTCCCAGCCCCGCGTGCTTTGTGCCAAGCAGGTGAGACACGGTTAGAATGCCAAGCGTGGCGATGGCCTGGTCCAAATCCCAGCTGGGCCACTTTCTAGCTTCACAGTGTCAGCTTCTTTATAGTGGGTGTTGCCATAGCAACCTCTGCACAGGTTGGCGAGAATGTCAAAGGAGACAGCACAGTGCCTGGTACACAGATGCGGTTACTCTTTCCAGGTCTCTGGCAGCTGGGGGGGCGGGGGGGGGGGGGGGAGAATGAAAACAGGCCCTCGGGCCCTCTCTCTTTTCCCACCTGAAGAAGGAGATGGGCAGGACAAGCAGATGCGGAGTCCTGGGGTGGCATCAGCGCACGGTCTTGCTGGGTCAGCACAGACTTCACAGCTCTCCTCTGCTGGGCCTCATGGCCTCAGCAGCTGGTAGCTCATAACATCACTCCTTTTGTGCAGAGCAGGAAACTAGGCCTAAAGAGTCCCAGGGCTTTGCCTGAGAACATGCAGTTCAGTTGCGTCTGAGCTAAGACTGGAACCCTGGCCTCAGATCCCAGGCCCTGGGTGGTCTGAGGCCAAAAACCACTCAATCCAGCTCCTGCTTCTGCAGTAGCCCCTTCTAGGCGACCATCAAACCTCTGGATATCCATCAAACTTCTGCTTTTTGGTCTTCAGTGACTACAAAGTCACTTCTTACAGGGTAGCCCCTGTACCGTTGGGAAATGCTCCTTCATTCTTCCCTGCTATGGGGGTTTCCCCAGTTCTACCCTCTGGGGCCACACAGATCAAGCCTCCAGCTCAGAGCAGCCCTGGAGGCACTTGGGTGGCGTTATGGTAGCTTCTGAGTCACCGCAGGCTGTTCTCCCACTCGGGATAGGACTTCTAGGCCCTTCTCACCCTGGGCACCCTCTAGTCAGGCCTGGTTCCTCTTTGGGCTGAAATGCTCTGAGTAGAACCCCTGCCCACCTCTGACTGCCATGAGTAGTCCATGGCTCCTCACCTGAACGCAGGTGAGCTCCCTGCGGCTCAGTCTAGACCAGGGGTGGGCAAACTTTTTGACTCGAGGGCCACAATGGGTTCTTAAACTGGACCGGAGGGCCGGAACAAAAGCATGGATGGAGTGTTTGTGTGAACTAATATAAATTCAAAGTAAACATCATTACATAAAAGGGTATGGTCTTTTTTTTTTTTTTTTAGTTTTATTCATTTCAAATGGGCCGGATCCGGCCCGCGGGCCGTAGTTTGCCCACGGCTGGTCTAGACTCATAGGCAGGAAGGTCTCTGGCCAGACGGCCGGGTGGCTCTCCCCGAAGGCCTGTTCCCATTATAGCTACAGCCCCTGCACGGGAGGAGGGGGAGGAGAGGCAGCACAAATTTAGGCCACTCTGGATGGAATAATTAGTGGCACATTCATCAAATCAGGGCAGGACGGCTACTGAGACCCAGGACATGTTGGGAACACAGTCCCCAGAGGACAAAAGGGGCCGTAATGAGCTATATTTGTTTGTGGCCCATCTAGCTTTGGGCAGTGAAAGGTCAGCTGTGGGACCCTCTTGGAAATCCAAGTGGAGAAGGGGTCAGAGGAAGCCAGCTGTCCCCAGAGACTTGGAGCCCCAGCCCCTCCCCATGCAGGAAATGAGGACTGATGCTTATCAGGCACTTGCTGTTGCCACTGTGAAGTACTTTACGTGGATGATTGAAATTAATTCGTCTGCCACCCAATGATAGGCACTATCCCCATGTTCTGGGAGGTAACTAAAGCTTAGAGAGGTGAAATAATTTATCCAAATTCCACAGCTGGGATCAGAAGCTAGGGCTATCTAACTGGAAAGTCCACGCTCTTAACTCCTCTCCGTCCTAACTAGGGCGATTCCCTTTCTTTTAGACCCAGCAGGAGACCGCAGCCTCAATACCCCAGAGGCCAGGAGGCCTGTCTGAGGCCCCCATGACCTCCGTTCCCCATCCCTGTCTCTCAGCTTAGAGTGGTTAAGAGCCTGGCTTGGGAGCCAGACTGTGCCGTGATTCTGGATCTGTCTCTTATCAGCTCTGTGATCTTTGTCAAGTCACTTTACCTCTCTGAGCCTCAGTTTCCTCCTCTTTCTACATATGACAAATGCTTACTAAGTACCTGATATGTGCGGGCCTCTGTCTTAGGTGCTGGCGATGCTGTGGTGGACAAAACAGATAATTCACATACTACAGGGCGACAGATAATGTACAAGCACATAGACAGATGGGGAAAAACAGTACAAATCACAATGAGATCTATGAAGGTAACAAGAAGCTAAGATAGAAGATACCTGGGGGCTCTTCATAGAGTAGTCATGGAGGGCTTCCTGGAAGGGGTGACATGAGGGTGAGAGCCAGATGAAGAGAAGAGGCCAGCCCTGTGAAGCTCAGAGGGAGAACAAATTAGGCAGGGGGAATAGGAAGTGCAAAGGCCCTGAGGTGACAACTAGCATGACTATTTCAGGGCTCTAAGAATAGAAATAATTATGCCTATCCCAAAGAGTTGTTGAGATGACAAATGAGGTTATGTGTGCATGGAGGGCTTCCTGGAAGGGGTGACATGAGGGTGAGAGCCAGATGAAGAGAAGAGGCCAGCCCTGTGAAGCTCAGAGGGAGAACAAATTAGGCAGGGGGAACAGGAAGTGCAAAGGCCCTGAGGTGACAACTAGCATGACTATTTCAGGGCTATAAGTATAGAAATAATTATGCCTACCCCAAAGAGTTGTTGAGATGACAAATGAGGTTACGTGTGAAAGCCCTTCACCTAGTGGCTGGCACATTGTAGGAACACAGTAGATGTTGCTTCTTTTTTCTTATTGTGGTGGTGGCTGTCCACTCCCCCCACCTCCCGCCCTCCCCTCAGCCCCAGGTCCAGACCCTGAGGGGAGGGTAAAGGAGGGGATGGATGGCTGGTGGAGGAAGGTTCTTACTGTTGCAGAAGACTTGCAGTGGGGTAGTCCTTTCTCTGGGGACTAAACTCAGGGTCCTGGGGTTGGAGCTGGAGGTGGGGGCAGCGTGCCTCTGGATTATCCAGCTGCTCCATCTGTAAGCCTAGGCCCCTGGAGATGAGGTCCTGAACCTGCTCACTGTCCTCTGGCCCTTTCTTCCCCACCTTTCCCTCTTCTCTCTGGTCCTGGGAAGCCGGAGAATCTGCTGCTGGCCTCCAAGCTCAAGGGCGCTGCGGTGAAACTGGCAGACTTTGGCCTGGCCATAGAGGTGGAGGGGGAGCAGCAGGCATGGTTTGGTGAGTGGGGGCAGGGGGTGTTGGGGGTCAGCCTTGTGTTGATATGTTGGCCTCTAGGAACCTCTGCCCGAACAGGGGCAGGTTGGAGAAGGTGTTGGACCAGCCAGGGCTCAGGTAGTAGAGTTAGAGGTCCCTCCCCACCCAGCCTCTGGGTCAGTGGGTAGGGCTAGGCGCAGGGACATGATTACCAATCAAACAGAACATAGCTTCTTCACATGCATAAATACCTACACTGTTGGCTAGAGGCTTTCAGGGGTTTCCCCCACATCCTGAGTGCTGGAGATTATTATCCTGATGTTACAGATGAGGAACAGAGGCTAAGAAACCTGGAAAAGGTCAAAGGAGATTACAAGGGGCAGAGCAAGGTTTTAAGCTCAGATGATCCAGCATGCTCTGAGATTTGGGCATAACTGAGTCTTTCCTGCTATCCGGGGACCCTTTTTAGTGGGCAATATTGCCCAGTGGTTAAGAGCCAGAGCTCCGGGTTCCAGTTCGGCTTCTGCTACATATGGGGGGTGTGATTGGGCCTCCTTGCACCTCTCCTAGCCTGTTTTCTCATCTGGAAAATGGGGACAATAATAGAATGTTCCTCAGGGTTGGGTGAGGGTTAAATGTGATCAGGCATAGAGAGTGCTCAGCCCTGCTTAGCACACATACTCAGTCAACAGGAACCATTCTTATGATTACTTGTTAAAGTACTTGGGGTGTCCATTATTTCAACTGATCCTCCCAACAGTGCTGGAAGGTATTTAAAACAGGAATCCCTAAGCCCTCATTTGACAAACCGTTCGACCGCCAAAGGGGTCGCGACCCACAGGTTGAGAACTGCTGCCTAAGCCCTCATTTGACAGATGAGGAAAATGAAGCCTAGAAAAGAGACCTACCCAAGGGATTGAGGGTAAAGGCAGAGTGAGGGACAGCCTCCTGCCATCCCAGGACCAGCTCCTCAAAGGGTAGAAGTGGGCAAGGGGTCATTCAGCTCAGTGTGGGGCCGACTGGCAAGGACATTTTATCTTGAGTGCCACCTGCAATTGATTGGTAGTGGCTGCTGGGAGGATGTGCTAGAAGTTCATGGAGCTGAGTCAGGACCCCATGGGAAGGGCTCTGGGGTTGATCAGTGACTTCTGCCCTAGGCTCTGGAGTGGGGGCGGTGCCCAGTGTCCTTTGTACTTGTCCCCCCCTGGTCTAGAGGCGTTGCTGGCCCCATCTGAGGGCAGGAGGTGCTGTTGCCATCTCCAGGGCAGCCCTCACCCTCCTCCAGCAGGACCTTGCATTGGTTTACTTATGTGCCACCCTCTGTGTGTGTCTGCCTGTCTGTGTCTGGCGAGCAGGGTTTGCCGGGACACCTGGATACCTCTCTCCAGAAGTGCTGCGCAAGGACCCGTACGGGAAGCCCGTGGACCTGTGGGCCTGCGGTGAGTCCTTCCAAAGGCCCCTCTATCCCCCTGGCCAGCGGCGTCTCTGGTGCCCTCTCTCCTCTTTCCCATCACTCCCCTCCCCATTGCTTCTCCTCACAAGGGGCTGAAGTTCCTCCTGGCGCTCTCCCCAGGAGTCATCCTGTACATCCTGCTCGTGGGCTACCCCCCGTTCTGGGATGAGGACCAGCACCGCTTGTACCAGCAGATCAAAGCCGGCGCCTATGATGTGAGTGTCACTCTTCTCTCCAGCCTCCCTGCCATCCCCGGAGCCCCTTCCAGTGAGAGCCAATGGCCAGTGAGGTCAGGACCCGAGGATGCCCCCTCCTGCCCTCCCAGTCCTTCTAGGTCTCCTTGCCACTCTCTAGCTGTGGGCCAGGGGGTGAATGGCAGGTGGAGCTCGAGGGCTGACTGAGGCCAGGCGATGAGCTGCCTGTGTCTAACGACCGGGGGCCTCTAAGGGATGGGGTCTAGCCCATGGGGCTTCAGAAGGCAGAAGCAGCAGCAAAGTGAGGCGAGAGGTTGGGGGGTGGGGGTGGGGGTGGGGGCAGGCCCTAGATCCAAGTTCTCTTTCTCTCTCTAGGTATAGATTTATAGAGATAGATAGATAGATAGATAGATCTATATACACACAAATAATGATAGCTGACACCTATATAGCACTCTTCTAATGCTTTCTATATATTATTATAGTTAGTCCTCACACCAATCTATGGTATAGGCACTGAGAGGTTCAATAACTGCCCAGATCCTATAGCTAAGAAATGGTGGAGCTGGGATTTGAACTCAGGCAGTCTGGCTCTCATGTCTAAGCTTCTAACTACAAACTATACTGCTTTCTTACATGGCTGATTTCTATCAAGCTATGTGCCCTGTGTTTTATACCATACTTAATCCTCACAACACCTCTAGGTCACATGACTCGCCCAGGGTCACTCAGCCCAGGAAGCAGACTTGAACCCAGCCTTGTGATCCTGAAGTCTGGGCTATACCCACAGGCCTGCTGCTTTCCAGATAAGGCACAACCTCAGAATAGCAGAGGGAGGCCCCCTTTTCCTATGCCCATAGTTCTGATTTTTCCTGGGTGAGGGCACCCTGCCCCAGCTCCTCCTGGTTATGGATGCCCAAGTGGATGGGCAGTAGGACCCCTGCCTGCTCCCCTGCCAGTCAGGGGCTGGGGGATCGCAGGGGTGGCCTGGGGTAGGCTGGGCAAACCTGGCCCCTCTGCCCCTTTCAGTTCCCATCACCAGAATGGGACACCGTCACCCCAGAAGCCAAGGATCTCATCAATAAGATGTTGACCATCAACCCGTCCAAACGCATCACGGCCGCCGAGGCCCTCAAGCACCCCTGGATCTCGGTGAGCCTTCCTCAGCAAGACCTTTCCCAGGACCCTGCCAGACCTCAGGGTTAAGGCCTTCACAGAGTCCTGTCCCTGGGGTGAGGGGCTTTATCCAAGAGACACTGACTCTGCTGTGGTTCTCAGGGGAAAGTGCATCAGGACGGGGGTGCTATTGGCATTGAATGTCTAGTGCACCAAATGCTACAACAGAATGTTTACAACATCCCCTAGAACAAAGAATTATTCCCCCAAGATGCCAACCACACCCATAAGACACCCTGCTGAGGGGCCCTTGGGTAGGCCTGCCTTCTACTCACAGACCTCTTCCCTACTCCCTCCAGCACCGGTCCACCGTGGCCTCCTGCATGCACAGACAGGAGACCGTGGACTGCCTGAAGAAGTTCAACGCCAGGAGAAAACTGAAGGTAACAGGTCCTCACCCTCCATGCCCCCACACACGGGAGTAGCGTGGCCTGGGAGTAACAGTGTCCAGGAAACCACTCACTGTTCTTTCCTTCTCTGAGTCAACAAACATTTATTGAACACCTGCTGTCTGGGCAGGGCGGTGAGCAGTGGAGACAGACACATAACCAGGGCATGATGGGGCCGTGGTGAGTGCTGTGCTTGCACGCCCCGAGGCTGTGGGTGTACACAGCAGGGCCACGAGCCAGGTCTAGAAGGACCAGGGAAGGACCCAGGAAGCCTGCCTGGGCAAGTAGCATATACGCTGAGGCCCCAAAGGAGAAGCAGGCATTAAGCCACGATGGGGGTGAGGCCCCAGCTGCCAACCACTGGTGAGGAATGGCCCAGAGACTTGGGTAGGGGTTGTGACCCCAAGGAAATTACATGGAGACCCAGGTGGGCCCTGAGCTGCAGCCTCTCAGCAGGTCCTGTGTGTTCTCGGGGCCATGACAACTGGCCTAGACCTTGCCAGGGACCCCATGAGCAGGTAGGAAGAGTGACCGAGGGGTCCCCATCTGGTCGGAGGAGAGAAGCCATCAGCATGCTGAGTGACAGATACTGAGGCCCCGGCTCATTGGGAACCTTCTCACCAACTGCTCCCAAGCTTGGCACGGTGGCTCAGGATGGGGACCTGGGCCAAGGGTGGCGGCCAGCATGATGCCAGGAAAACTGAGTATCACCCCCAGCCCCTAGTGGGAGCTGTCACAGAAGAAGTCTCCACGTGTCAGAATCGGGGATTCTTAAAACCAGGGGCTGTCGGACTCAGAGAGTGGCCAAGTCAGAGAGCATCAGACTAGAAGGGCCACCGCCCCCCAGCCCCCTTGCTGACAGAAAGGGCTTTTCTGCATTAACCTTCCAGGGTTTCAAGCCCAGGGATGTACTAGTACTAGAGTGGGTGCTGAGTGCCCCGGGCGGAGGGTGGACACGGGAGGGGCCCTGGGGTGCAGGGTCTACTGTCCTTGCCCAAGCAGGACACCTCCGTGGCCTTTAGCAGCCCCCTGACAGGTGTCCCCGGGCCCATCCACCAGCTCTGGCCAGGCCGGTGGGACCTATTAATATCTGCTTCTAGAATGGCCCTGTCCCTGGAGCGGTGCCAGCTAAGGTTGAGTTCACCCTGGTTTCTCCAGGGAGGTGGGGGTTGGTCCCTGGGCTGTGGAATGGGGGACTAATGAGGGGCAGCGGCTTTGGCTTTGTGTATGAGTGGAACACCTGTCTCTCCTTCCCCACTCATCACCCATTTCTCTGTCTCTCCTCTCCCCACTCACCTCTGGCTTCTCTCCCCACCACACCCTCTCCTCTCACCTGTGCAGGGAGCCATCCTCACCACGATGCTGGCCACCAGGAACTTCTCTGGTAGGTGGTAGGACCTCAAAGCCCCAAACACATCCTGTAGGAGTGGGGACATTGCCATGTCGGATACCTGGGTACCCTCAGGCCCGGGGGCCTGGGAGAGCGGGGGCTGCAGAGGACCCCGTGACTGGGGGCTTTGCTCACGTGATGCAAACCTGCACCCAGAAGTGGAGAAGGGTCAGAGGTTGGCAAGCGACGGGCCCACGAGGAAGGGAAGGGTCAGAGGTTCAGTCTGTGTCCCCTGCCTCACAGGAGTGCTGGGTTCTCAGGCTGGGCTAGCCAGAGGGAAGGCCTCTCAAATGTGGGTCCAGGTCCGGGTGGGACTGAGCAGCATTCCTGTTCCCCGTGGTTACAGAGCCCTGTGCTGAGCAGTCTCCATGGCCTTTACGACAAGGCAGTGGGGGCCGTCACCATCCCTGCTTCCTGAAGGAGGAAACGGAAGCTCAGGGGGGTGGACGTGGGCGGCCCAGGTGGCATCGCTAGGGGGAGGCAGAGCCTGTGATCAGCACAGGTTTGACCAACCTCAGTGCAAGTGCCTGTAGCCAGGGCAGGAGCCTTCGGCCTTGGCCAGAGCCAGGCTGGTTAGGGCAGGGAGTGCCCGCTGACCTGTGGCATGTGTTCCCCGAAGAGAGAAGGGGAAGGGATCAGTGTCAGGGTTTAACAAGAAGCTCCCCCTGGCACACCAGAGAGTTCTAGGACCAGCGCTGCCAGCGGCTTCTCTCTGGGAGCCCGGAGGCTGAGTGGGCAGCTGAGCAGATATGGCAAAGCTCACCCGAGGGGCCCTCTGCCTGGGGCTGGAGCCAGCCTGAGAAGGTTGCTGTGGTCACGTGGCTGGCTCCGCAGCAAGGGGGCGACTCTGGGTGGCTACAGCCCAGGCCTCGTGAGAGGTTCCCCCTGCTCATTTAATGAGCTGGGAGAGTGAGACCCAGCGTGGGAAAACCTGGGACTTCGGATCTGAGCTTTTGCCACTGCCTGAACTGCCTCCCCATTCTCTCCCCAGACAAGGATCCTGCAGCTCCTCAAACTGAAACATGAGCCACCCAGACAGAGTCTTTTTTTAACAACTGAAGTGCCCCTAGAGAACTCTAATCCAGAACTTAAAAGATGGTGCCCATGGGGTTACTTCCAATCTCTAGATGTGCTTGGGGGTGGAGTGGGGGGGGGGCAGGGGTGTTTAAAAATTTTTTGCAAAGTATTCCCAGCACTTAAACATCAGGAGATTTCCCAGAAAAGCCCAGATCTCTGTCTTCTCTTGAAAATCAGAATATGTGGCCTCACAGACCACCGCCCCCCGAGTCTTGCCATAGTGGCTGGAGCTGAGAGGGTCCCCTGGAGGCTGGAGGGGCAAGCACTCCGGCCCCACTGAGCAGCCTGGTTCAGCCCACAGGCCTGTGGGGCAGAGACAGCCATTCCTTTTGGCTTTGGATCCAGCGGTACCCACTTGCTTACAAAAGGGTAAATTTTGGACGAGAGCCAGGTAGGGGTCATTGGAAATGTGAGGGTGATTGGGAAGCTGGACAGACCAGGAGCCCCATCCTTCAAAGCCTCTGGGGCTGCAACGTCTTGTACGCCCTTGTGGCCGGCTCACTCTGCAGGGCACCAGGAGACGCACAAGTGGCACCATTTATTGAGCATCTACTGCACAGAGGTCAAGCTCAGTGCTAAGTAAGCACTTTATAGACACCCCATCTCATTCAACATAAAGCGTTTGCTTGAGGTCTGAGCAGCTGGTTGTCAGGTTGGGCAAGGCTGGGCACTCATGCCACTTCCTGGCTGATGCCCTCCCTCTCCATGGGCTCTGGCCAGGAGGTGAGGGGGAGGGAAAGGGAAGTGACAGAGGTGGAGCCTCCCTGAGATCTGTTGCTCTGCTTTTCCTGGCTACCGGGGGCAGGGCCACCCCCAGCCTGGAGCTCTGGAGTTTGAGGGTGGGGAGGCCTCCGCCAGGATGGGTGCTCTGGCAGCGGTGGGCCCCACAAGGGGGCATCTGCTTCTTGTCACTGGCAAAACACGGCTCGCAGCTGTCCAGCGTGAGTAGGCAGGGCTGACACATGACCTCTGCAGCAGCATGGGGCTAAAATTAGAGCGGGCTGGGTTGGGAGGGAGCATCCTGCCCCGGCCGGGCAGCCGGGCCTCCGGGTTGGCCACACCAGCACGGGTGGTGACCGGGATCCAGAGGGAATCCCCGGGCTCAAACAGTAACTCACAGTCCTGGGACGCACTGGATACCTTCCTCAACCTCAACCCATGGGGCTGGGGGGTCACACTTGCGATCGCTGAGAACTGTGGGAGCCCAGGCCCACCTAGGGGGCCACTGGCAGTCCCAGGCTCCAGAGGAGGGAGGAGAAGCAGGAGGAGGGCTCCCAGATCGCTGAGCCGGCTCCCTGCCCTCCGGCTGCCCGTGGATGCTGCTCTTCCTTGCCCTCTGGGCCCTGGTGCCCTGCCTGGTGTTGGTAACCCTCTACTTTCTCTCCTCCATAGGAGGGAAGAGTGGAGGAAACAAGAAGAACGATGGTGTGAAGGTAAGCCCCCTGGGAGCCACTAGGGCCTGCTCTGGCGGCGTTTCCTTCAAGAAGGCCCGGCTTTCAGGCCTGGCGAAGACCCAGGCCCTGCTGGTGGTGTTCTGGGCAGATGTGGTCTCTCCTGCAGCCGGGCCATCCCAAGACCCAGAGACCTGGGCTTCGGTGCCCACCTCTCACCAGGATCAGGGGAGGAAGCGGGGGAGGGGGAGGGTTGATAGCCGGTGGGAGACGCAGATGGCCTGGGGTTGCAGTGGGCACAAGGAAAGGGGCAGGTCAGAAGGAGGTTTCTGGGGTTCTCTGGGGCTGGAGGACTGGTGAGCAGGGGGTACCAGGAAGGGATAGAGATGACCATGAGGAGTAACTTCCCTTTTCCCGAGTGTGGGCTGGCAGGAGTGGATCCCTGACCCAATACACCCCAGTCCAAGAGGATGGACAGCAATTTCTCTCCACTTTGGGGTCCAGAGGTGCCCTCTCCCCCTGAAGACCTGCGGTTCAATGCTAAGCATCCCCGCCTCCCCCGACCCAGGCCTGTCCTCTGTCCTCCCTCCCAGTCCTGAAGCCCGAGCTACTTCCACACACCCCCCTGACCCCGCTCCCTTCCTCTCTCTTCTCCCTCTGCTCTCTGGGGCTTGGTCCCTCTCTCTGCAGCCCCCTTCTCCCTGCCACTGGCTCGCCTTGTGGGTTCTCTTTCTTGAGACCCTGCCTTTCTCTGGGCTCAGAGCCCTGCCTGGCCAGGGCCCCAGGGCTGGGCTGTGCCCAGGACACTGGAAGGTGTGGGACGTTGTCCAAGCACAGCCACCAGGCAGGCTGGTGTCTCTGTGGCTTCATTTGTAGTGGCATTTACAGTCTCAGGTCGAAGGCTTTGGTCTGTCACGGTTACATGGGAGGGATCTGGGCTGGCTCTCGGAGGCCAGGGTTCGGGCCTCCCCTCTGCTCTTAGCCCTCTGCAGGCTTGAGTTTTCCCATAGGTACAATGGGCAGGTGGAAGGGTGTGGACTCCACGATTTCCAGGATTTCAGCTTTAAAAACATACCAGCAAACAAACAAACAAACAAAAAAGCAAAACAAACCAACAAAACCCTATCTAATCACTCTCCCTCTTGTCTTGGGTGCTTGAGGGATACCTAAGTATTTGGTTATCAGTTGAAGTCTGTGGTTTTCAAACTGAAGTCCTTGGAACCCAAAGGTTCTGGGGAAGCACCTCCAGCAGCAGATGGGGTGGGGTGGGATTAGAAGCGGCAAGCAGAGAAGGTCCTGGGCTTCCCATGCCCACTTCAGCCAGAACGGCTCCGTGTTACAGCCGGCACCGTGGGTAAGAGAGCCTGGGCGGGCTTAGCAGCCGCAGACCTTGGCTGGTTATTCGGGTCCCCTGAGCCTGTGTTTCCTCGTTCAAGCAGAGAGGGTCACAGGGGTGTCCACCTCGCAGGGCTGTTTGTGAGGATGAGCCAAGATCACGTGTGTCGAGGGCTTAGCACGGTGCAGGGCGTGCGACACATGTTCATGAGGTGCCGGCCAGTGTTATTATCTTTTCTGTTTTATCTACTGGACTTCCGGGTTAAGATTTGTCTTGAAAACAGAGTTTGCTCAAGAGAATATTTGGTAATCCACAGATCTAAAGCCGGCACAATTTCTAAAGTTGTCATGCACGCATCCCGAGTCCCGTAGTGGAACTCAGAATTGAGTTTTGGCTCACCTGCTGTTTGGCTCACCATTTGAAAGGGAAATGGGGGGATGTACAATGTGGGGGTGGCCGGTTTTGAGCCGCTGGAGCTCTCACTGGCCCTGGTTGGTAGACACTGGGGCACGGGGTTCCCTGGGGAAAATTGTATTTGGGAGATAGGGGGCAGAGGCCACAGGCGCTGGTGTGCTGTGACCCAGGTCAGTGGAGGAGGCGGCGGCAGAGGGAGGGTCTGCTTGGCTCGCGGTGTGGCCCTGGCAAAGGCTAGCTCAGAGCCACTGCTGTGAGGTCAAGGCCTCCCTCAGGCAGGGTCTTCGGACAAAGCTCTGGTCTGGCTCTTCCCAGGCAAAGCCAGGAGGCGGAGCCTGCCCGAGGGCAAGGCCATGGCATGGTGGGGCTCTGGCTAGTCACAGTGGGTGCAGCTGGGGAAAGTGCCCCTCCTTCCAGCAGCTAAGACAGACCCTGAGTGACTTCTCAGGGCAGCCTGGGTGGATGAACAGAAGCTCAAAGGCTATTCCTGGCTGACCGTCTCTCTGTAGTGCAGCCTCCTTCCCCTCCTGGGGGTTGGCCAAGGGGGAAGTCCAGCTGGAAGACAAGTCTCCCGGGGCCTCGCCCAGGATTCGGGGCACCCTGCCTGCCATGTGTCACTCGGGGTCCAGTCATGTTTTCACCGTGAGTGAAACTGGCTCTAGTCAAGAAGCCAAGGGTTTGACTCTGGGCCCCGCGGTCCCTCCCTTGGGGACCTGGGTCATCGCTTCTGTCATCCCTGCAAAGGAAGATGGCAGTGGCTTGTGAGCCTGATGGTCATCCTGTGCTTCTTCCACTGACACACGTTCAGCCCAAGTGAGGAAATCTTCCTACAACACTGTCCTAGAGACAAACCACCGGTTCCACCCGGGGCTTTGCCGAAGAAGCAGGGATTGGTCCTGCCGCTGGAGGCCAGCCGGCCAGCTGGAGTTAGAGACATGGCACAATACTGTACTGTAAGGGCTTTTAATGGCTTTTGAGGCTAATTTCGACCACACTTCTCATTTCTATCATCCTTGCTAACCTTAGAACCGTGCTTTCTTCCAGGTGGTTCTAAGAGATGTGACTCTACTTTTGGTGAAAGACTTGTAAATTAGACGCTAACGTGCCGGTCAGTGTGGGATTATTGTTAGTATCATCATTTGTGACTCAGGGAAACTGAGTCTTCCTATTATCAAGAAGCGATGCCCGCCTCCAACCACCCCGAGGCCTCCACTGCTATGAGGAGGGGCCGCCTGCTCCCACCCCTCAGTCCACTCACTGCCCCTGTTGGTGTCCCATTCGTGCCGTTGTGACTTCTCTCTCCCATGTCCCATCCTGTCACTGTACGTCCGAATCTGATGCAGTCTCTGCTCTGTGTTCCCTCCTCGTGTCCTGCCTGGAACCTCCTGGCCCACCCGGGCCAGTCCTCAGGTTTCTGCTGTCAGCCAAGCTGAGAGGGCCTGTGCCCTCCCACAAACACTGTGCCTGGCTTGGCTCCATCCAGGAGTGAGGCTGACGGAGAGGAGAGGAGAGGAGAGGAGAGGAGAGGAAGGGCTGTCTATAAGCTGCTGGCTTTGGAAGTCACGCTGTCCGACCCAGCTGAAGCAGGTGCAGGGCCTGTGCCCAGTGAGCCAACCCTGCCATGTCTGCAGAGGCCCTAGAGAGAGAGCACAGGATCTCAGCCCAGAATTAGACCTGAGGACCCTCAGAATATTGTGCTTCTCCCTGGAGGACCCACCCTAAGGCCATCTCTATTCCCTCCTCAGCTCCCCCTCCCACCCCCTGCAGTGCAGCAAGGAGAGCAGCCTTCTGGCCTCAGATGTGAATAGTTTGGGAAGGATAAACCTTTGAAAAACGGCCAGGAAGTGGTGCCTGAGGCCTGGACAGAGGAGAGAGCAGCACTCGGGGATTCTGGCCTCTGCTCTGCTAGCGGCCAGCTGAGAGACCCCGGGCAGATCACTGCCCATCTTTGGGCCCCAGTTTCTCATCTGTGCAATCCAAGTGTCAGTCTTGAGCTGCAGCCCTCTGTATGAGTCTTTAGGACTCTTGGCTCAGAGCTGAGAGAAGAAGATAATCTACCTTTGTCCTTTCTCCTTCCTTCCCTTGGTTCCACAGCCAGTAATACAGGGAAAGCTACAAACTCCCCACAAGCTAGAGTAGGCTGAATGGCAGGGCCCGACGGCTCAAATTCTGGGCTCCGCTCCATGTCTGGCTGTGCCTCAGTTTCTCTCTCAGCATAAAGGAGTTGTCTAGGCCAGTCGCTGGGAAGCTGTGAACACAAGCGGAAGTTCAAAGGCCATTTGAGAGGACTGGTTCCCGCACTTGGCCCTGCTCTGGAATCTCCTGGAGATACTGTTTTAAACGGAGATCCGTTGGCCCCACCCTAGGCTGAGTTCCCAGACTCCTCGAAGGGGCCTGGTTATATGTGACTAGGACACTTGGGGGCCTTTCAGCAGAGATGCAAGGGAGTCTAGGAGGAGAGATTGGGCCTCACCCTGAGACTGGAGCACCCCTTTATCCTTCAAGAGCTGTGGATTCTGGAGGCCTTAGGCAACTGGCATCCGAGACCCAGGTTGACTTCCCCCAGCAGAGCGGGGCGAAGAGGGAGCCCTGGTCCAGGGGAGGCCTGGCCTGGAGCTTGGTGATTAGACCTTGAGACCCAGGCAGCTGTGCGTGAGGCCCCAGAACTTTAGGCTGAGAGAGGACTGGTCCCACCAGGTCAGCTGTTGCTGGTGGCCCTGACTCCTTGCCCCCATGCCCTGCCGGCACAGGCCCACCGAGGATGACCCTGAGGCCCATCCTCCTTCCGAACCTCCCCTGTCGTCAATCCCTCTGCTCTCTGCCGTTTTCACGCTGTGTCTTTTCCTGTCCCATCTCTTCTCCTTGTTTTTCCAGAAAAGAAAGTCCAGTTCCAGCGTTCAGTTAATGGTGAGTGTCTGCCGTCTCCCCAACGCCGGTAAATGCTGGGCCTCGACCCCTTGCTCCTGCCTCCCTCCTGCAGGCTGCACTGGGAACCCGGGGCGGGGAGAGGGTGCTCAGGGCGTGCTTGGTACGTGTGCCTCGTGTGACAAATATGTGTGTTGCGTGTGTGTGTTGTTGGCGTGTTTCTGTTGACACCTCCCACTCCATGGCCCAGACCAGCAGCCTGACAGTAGACCTGAGAACTCTGTTGGGTATGAAGGTTGATTTGAACCCCATCCCACATCCAGCCCTTGGCTTCTCGCTTCTTCCCACCCTCTGCTCTGGAACTCATCTCAGGGCTTGGTTTGTGCCAGTTGTGACGAAGGGTGGAGGGGCTTGGTTTGGCCAATACAGTGGGTGCCGTAGAGGCCCTTCTTGAGCAAGGCTATACAGGGCCTGCCGGTGGCAGAGGAGCCACCAGCCCTGCCTCTGTCTAAACGTTCCAGTGGTGGCATGGTGGCCCATGTCCCTCTTCTTCTGATTCCATTGCTATCTCCCTCAGTTGTGTGGTTTTTCTCTCCCTGAAAAGCCCAGCTCTCTCACACTGGGCCTCCCTCTCTCTCTCTCTCTCTTCCTCTCCTGCCAATGTGTGTATTCCTTCCCCATTCTGTGGCCACCATGTGCCTCTCTGCCCCTCTACACCCCCTCTATGATCCCTTAAGCAGAAAGGGCCCAGGAACCCCTCCCAGCCCCTCCAAAAAGTCCAGGGTTCTCCTTGCATCCATCCCTCCATCCACGCCCCAACCACCAGCCACCTGCTTAGCTGGGCCCTTCCCCGCCTTAGGTTCAGAAGTCTGACAGGTTTTCAGGGGAGCATCCGGATGGCAGAGCCAATGAGGCTTACAGAAACCGGGCCGCAGCATCAGGCAGCCGGGGCAGCCCCCCACTGGCCGCGCCCCCTCCTGCTGGCCAGGCAGGCCTCAATGCCTCCCTGTTCTCTCTGGCAGGAATCTTCAGAGAGCACCAACACCACCATTGAGGACGAAGACACCAAAGGTAGGGGGGCCTTGCCTTTGGCGCCTGGGCCCCAAGGCCTCCTCAGGCCCCCTTCACTGACAGCCCCTGGTTTGAAGGGACCCCAGTGCCAACCTGGTGTCCTGCTGCTCTGCACAGAACCTCACTTTGGTTCCTTCCAGGCTGAGTACACTGTTCCCGGCGTGGGATACTCAGCCCACTGGTGGTACACAGCTGGACTTTTCTTATTGTGGGGGTTATGCATTAACTTTCAGATGTGTTAGAAAAAATCAACGTAACACATTCATGTCATAAATGTATCACAGTGGTATGCATTTGCCTTTTGAAATAAGCATTTTTGAATTTTTTTTAAGTGTGCTGATTTTTAAAACATGAATAATTGTAAGGAAAGGAAAAGCAAAAATGCAGAATGTTCAGTTGTATGGGAAGCATGGGAAACCCTGCCCAGGAGCAACCTGGAATGCAGGAGCGACTAGCAGTGCTCAACCTCGGAGGGAGCAAACCGCATATAATTGTGATCGGATAGTAGGAGAGGAAGTAATGAGAACAGTAACAGAAACAATGGCTGTGCTGTGGGCTAACCTGGAAGTGCTTTATATTGACCTGAACTTCATCACAACCCTCTGGGGAGGTGCTGTAATTAACCCCATTCGTTCCACAGCCCCAGAAACAGGGGAGTGTCTTCAGGTCCTATAGCTCCCAAGGGTGGAGTCAGGATTTGAATTCAGGCAGTGTGACTCCAGGGCCTGGCTCATAACCACCACGCTGGGGGCCTTGGTGTGTGGAAAGCGTGCGTCTTCTGGCCAGGGGACACCAAATTGCTGGATGAGTTGGTGACATTCTGTGCTGTCTGCACCTGGCCCTCCTTATCCCCCTGGGACAGGGAGACCAGAGAGCTCAGGGTTCTCACACTTGGGCACGTGTCAGAGACGCCTGGGAGCCCTTGAAATCTAGGAAGACACCGTTGACCTGGAGAGATCGCAGCTGGACCAGTTTAGCCATTTTTCAATAGTTTAGATAATTTTCCTCTAAAAGAATATAATGATGGGGAAAAGAGAATTTCATTATGCAATAAATATTTTTGCACAATTGTAATTCAGGTTTTAAGACAGCTTTGATACAATAAATGCCATGACTACCTCTTGACTCTGCCAGGATACCCTGGAAGATCAGCCCCACCCATGTATGGCCCTCTCTGATCAGTCCCAGCTGTGGAGACGCCGGGGGTGGGTGGGGAGGGACTCACTAACACCATAGCCTGGCACTAGAGCAAATCCGTTTTCCATGATGGCACTAGTGCCCACCTTTAAAAATACATGATCTTGAAGAAGAATTCCTCGTTAGGGTCAAATCAGCCTCAAGTATAATTCTCCACCCACGCCTGGCCCTGCCCCTGTGGATTCCGATTCTATGGTTTTGCGTTGGGCTGAGACATGGTGTTTCTGTGACCGGCCCCATAGTTGAGGGCTCACTGTCCTGATGGTAAGATTGGGATTTTTGAGGAGACTTGCCGTGGCCTCATAATTCTGGTCTCAGAGCAGTTAGGGACCATGGAGGCAAGCTAGCTCTGTGCTTCTTCACTGGGGTCCATTTGCTGGTGGACCTTGGACAACTTACTCAACCTCTCTGAGCCTCCTTAACAATAAAGAGTTGATGAAAATAGTTCCAACCTCAGAGGATTGCTGTAAAGGTGAAATGAGAGGCTGCATGTAAAGTGCTTACACGGTGCTTGGCACATGGAAATTGTTTAGTGAATCTTAAATTTTTTGTGAAGCTAGAGCTTGTGGTTGACAGGAAGCCACATGCCATTTTTGGAACATCAATTTTACTGAAAGATTATTTTAAGGCAAATGTTTATATATTAAACAGACAGAGAAATATTTGGAAGAGAATGCAAAATTTGTGTGCGCTGGACATGTAAAATATGAGCTGCCAAAGACATTTCCACCTGGGGGAACGGCTCTGGGTTGCACCCCCAAGCCCCCACATTTACAGTCATCATTCTCTGCTTTAGAACACCATGGGAAATTTTGTGAAGCCTTGAATTTTATTTAGTTCATCTAGTCCCCCTTTTTTTCGCCCTTCTTTTTTACTTTTTAAAAAAATGTTATTGATTTTAGAGAGGGAGGAGGAGGGAGAGAAAGAAACATCAATGTGAGAGAGAGATGTTGATTGGTTGCCTCCCTTATGTGCCCTGACAGAGGATAGAACCTGCAACTTAGGTATGTGCCCTGACCGGGAATCGAACCCGTGACCTTCAGGTGCACCCGACAGTGCTCCAACCAACTGAGCAACCCCAGCCAGGGCTAGGCCCTCTTACAGGAGGAAGTCTGAGCTCAAGGAGGAGGAAGGGCACATCGGGTTATTGATGGCAGAACTGGGACCCATTCCCTGCCTCATTTCCCCACATGCAGAAGGCCCTGTCTGATGGGAGAGACACTGGCTCAGCCAGGAGCTTCTCCCACGTTTGGCAGGAAAGAGGAGCCCTGTGCCTCCCACAGCTTCTCCAGGCCTCAGAGAAACTTTCCAGAGAACCATTTCCTGGTGTTGATCTGCTAAGTCTTCTTCCTAAGTGAGAATAGCAGCTGGTGGGGTGGATTCCGACCTAACATTAAAATTAATTAGAAATGTCATCCTCCAGGGAACATTTTCCCATGAGCAAAGGAAGGGACATTAATATTTCAGAGCACCTCGGGCCTCATGCACAGGACTCTCACCCTCCAAATTTCACTGGGCTCTGCCAGGCTTTCTCCCTGTTCCCCTACCTCCTCCTGGTCAGCTCTATGAAAAATTAATGTCCTCTACAGCCCAAAGAGCTGCCTCAGAATCTCAGCAGAGACATTCTGGTGAATATCAGCCAGGAATGCTGATCCCATCTCAGCCTTGGCATGCTGTGTGACCTTGAGAGAGTGCCTTAACCTCTCTGGGCCTCAGCTTTTCCATCTGTAGGGGAGCACTCCTGGACTGTCTGGGTGAATACCTGGCAGGTGGAAGTGCACAGCTTGCTCCTGAGCAGCGCTGTGTGACCTTGAGAGAGTGCCTTAACCTCTCTGGGGCCTCAGCTTTTCCATCTGTAGGGGGGCACTCCTGGACTGTCTGGGTGAATATCTGGCAGGTGGAAGTGCACAGCTTGCTCCTGAGCAGTTGCTGAATGAACCCCTCACACAGCAATGGGATTGCTGAGGGCATGAGAGGGGCCCAGAACCAGAGTGAATTTATCCAGATTTAAGGAACACTAAACTCCCAGACTTTTTTGTCCCAGAGAATGAAGCTAGGGAGATTCCTGCCCACTGGGCATTGACTGTTGGCATAATTGGTGTCCTGAGTGGCTGGAGGCAAAACCAAGTTAGGTGCTATCTCAGGCTACATTAATAGAGGTATAGTGTCCAAAATGGGGAGGGGAGAGAGAATGCTACTCCAGACTTGATATTGTGTAAAATCCAAGCCACACCTGGGATTATATGCTTACACTCAGTGACGTGTTGATGAGTAAATGGCCCGCTTGAGTCAGATCCTGCAAACCATATCCTGGAGGCCTTCAGCCCTGAGGAGAGAAGACTGGCAGGGGAAAAGGCATAAATCCAGGCAGCAGACAACTCAGTGCAGGACCCCGGATGGCAGAAAGGAACCAGAACTATAGCTAGGGGCTTTCAGGGCGACAGATTTCAACTTGAAAGAAGAGGGAGGCTGGCACCAATGGTGAGAGCTGTCCCACAGTGCAGTGGGCTGCCCAGTGGGCTGCAAGCCCCAAAATGTCAACCAAGACGAAAGCCTCACATATAGGCTGCTGGGAGGCATCCTCGCTGAGGTAGAGGCCATCCTCAGGAGCAGCTTCCAATTCAGAGACTTGCCCACGATAATAACCACAGGCCCGGCTGGTGTGGCTCGGTGGTTGAGCATCGACCCATGAGCCAGGAGGTCACAGTTCGATTCCCGATCAGGGCACATTCCTGGGTTGTGGGCTTGATCCCCACTGGGGGGTGTGGAGGAGGCAGACAATCGATGATTCTCTCTCATCATTGATGTTTCAATCTCTCTCTCCCTCTCCCTTCCTCTCTGAAATCAATAAAAATAAATTTATGTTTTAAAAAAGAAACTAACCACAGCTCTCATGTAGGGAGTGCCAGGTTCTGCTCTAAGTGCTTTACATATTGCATCATTATTTACATAAAGAAGTTGTTATAAAGGACTGGGAACAGTAGCTGGTTCCTAGTGAGGACCACATATGTATCAGCTATTTTATATATATATATTCTTAACTCACATAATCCTCAGAACCACCCTATGAGGTAAGTGCTATTGGTAGCTCCATTATACATATGGGGAAAAAGGCATGGGATAGTCCCTTGCCCAAGGTCCCAGAGCCAGGATCCAAACACTGGGATTCTGGCTATAGAATTCATGCCTTTGACCACTTTGCTAGCCTCTCTGAGATGGCATGAGAAGCAGCCCACAGGGGACAGGGCATTAAGCACAGGCTCCTGGGATGTCAAGCTGGACGCATTCTTAAAGTCCAGATGGAGGAGGCAAGGGAGGTGGCACTGGCCCCAGGCCTGCCGTGAGCACATGGACTTGCTCAGGGTCATCACCTTGGTTCCGCGTGGGAGAGGCTGGGCTGAGGTGTCTCCTGGCACCGATGGCTTTTTTCCATCCTCAGTCTCCAGCTTCTATGCAGGAGGGCAGAGTTGACCAGGAGGCCAGGCTCTTGGATTCCCAGAGACAGGCCACTAGGCGACTTGGGCAATTCCAGGAAGCAGGGCAAAAACAGCAGCCCTAGACCCTGGTTTGGTGCCATCCACTCATTCATTCATTCTTGCTGCCTCTGCCCCAACCTCAGGCAAGGCCCCAGAGTGACCTGGCAGAGCTCATGGTCTCAGATGGACTCATTCCCAGCCCTGGTGATTATTCAAAAATAATTTGTTGTTCATGGTGGTAACAGACATTGAAGATGAACATTGCTATATCTGCTGAGCACCCACCATGTGCCAAGAGCTGTGCTGGGCAGGGGCCCCTGCCCTGAGGGGCATGTGTTGTGGGGGAGAGTGTGATGGGCTTTGGAGCTGCAAACGCTGGGCCGTTGGTCCACGGTACAGACAATTTAACTTCTCTCACCTCCAGATTGCTTACCTGTGATGTGGAAGTGATAGCCACATGAAGCTGTGCTGTGAGCTTTCAAGATCCTGCAGGTTGAGCACACAGCACAAGGCCTGGTGCGCTCATTTATTTAATAATGAGTTCCCCTGGGGGCAGGCCTGTTCCAAGCTCCTGGGATCTAGCAGCTAAGGGCAGCCACAGCCCAGCCTCCATGGAACTTGTATTTGAGTTGGGGAATAGACGGCACACAGGCCCCGAGCGTCAGGAAACATGGTGGGGTGCTGGGGCCCGGTGGAAGGGTCCTGGGCTGGGAGCCAAACTGCACCCTGTCTGCTCTGTGTCCCTGGGCAAGTGGCAACCCCTCCCGGGCCTCCGTTTCCCCAGTAGTGTGATAAGAAGGCTGAGTCCGTCTCCAGGGGTTCTTCCAGCCTGGCTGTTCTGTGACTCTGTGTCCTCTGGGTCTGAGGCGAGCTCCTGGTGTGAGATGGGGTGGGTGACTTGGGCAGTGATGAGGAAAAGGGCAGGGACAGCCTCAGCCAGGCATGGTGTCTCTCTCTCTCTCTCTCTCTCTCTCTCTCTTTCTCTCTCTCTCTCTCCCACATTCCAAACTGAGAAATGGGCTGTGTGTCCATCTACCTCACCTGAGGCTGCTCCATAGGCCAATGAACTGACCGGACTTGGAGCTGAGCTTGAACCTGGGGGAGGAGTGGGGGAGGGTGTACCTTTGGGAAACCATGCGAAGCTTCTGCAAGAACTGTCCTTCTGGGACCAAGAGACCTGGCCTCAAAGTCCTGCATTACCGAGGCTTAGTCTCCTCAGGTGTCGGCTCGGGGAAACCGGCCCCGCCAAGCTCCCAGGGTGTCTGTGAGGAGCAGATGTGGCAACCATGTGGGAGGATGCAGAAAGGGTACTTACACCGTGTACCTACTGTGTGCCAAGCTTTGGTTTGAGTGCTTCGTGCTCATCACCTCCTCGAGCTTCATGCCAAGGAGGGGAGCACTATCATCTCATCGCACAGACCAGGGAACCGCCTTGTGGCCCACATTTGCACACCTTGTAAGGGCCTTGGTTGGAATGTGTTTATTTTCTTTTTTTAAAGAGAACAGCCTAGAATGAAAGGTCCTTCTACCTATAATTGCTCCCGAGCTTTTTTTTTTCCTTTATCAATTTTTGGAGAGAGAGGAAGGGAGAAGGAGAGAGAGCGAAACATTGATTGGTGTCCTCCCTCACACACCCGACCGGGGATCGAGCCCACAACCCGGGCATGTGGCCTGACAGGGAATCGAACTGGCAACCTTTCGGTGCACGGGAGGATGCCCAATCAACTGAGTCACACTGGCCAGAGCCTGGGTTGGAATTTAGATGAAGCCTGTCTGGTACTGAAGCCTGGGTTCTTTCCACGATACTTTTGGCACTGAATGAATGAGAGGTGATGTCCCCATTTACAGATGGGAAAACTGGAGCTCAGAAATCACACATATAAGAAAAGTGACGTCTAAGCCTCTACCAGAAAGACAGCAGCTGTTTGTATTGTTTCGGTGGCGGCAGGGGAGGCCGGGTCCCAGCAACTGGGAATCACTATGCCTAGAAAGTTCTGGAAAGCTCAGAGCCTGTTTCCTACAGGCACCCAAATGGAGCATAAAGCTCCCCATACCTAAGGGATGAATAAGCCCTGAGACTTGTTAGCGGCCCCAGTTTGGGCATGGCTGCTAGTGACAACCATGACAGTCGACCTTGTTTTGATAGGAAATTGTATTTGGAGTCAAAACAGGCCTAGGGTCGGAATGCCCTCCATGGCTGCTTTTTGGAGGCAAAGGCTGGCAGCTAAGACACTGGCTCTGTCTTTTGTAGCTGAGGGAACTTTCTATACCATTCTCACCTTTCTGGGCCTCAGTTTCTTATTCTGTGAAATGGGAGTAATGATACCTACCTGTCATGGCTACTGTGAGGATAAATGAGACAATGTATATGAGACCCTCAGGTCCCAGGACAGGGTCTGGCACATGATGAGGACTCAGGAAATGGTAGTTGGTGCTTCATTACTGTCACGATTGCTACTATTTCTGTGTCCCCTCCTGCCTTACAGTGCGGAAACAGGAAATTATAAAAGTGACAGAGCAGCTGATTGAAGCCATAAGCAATGGAGATTTTGAGTCCTACACGTGAGTCGGCTGGGCCCGTCCTGCATGTCCTGCCTGGATTGTTGTTCGGGGGGCTGATGGCTAACTTTGGGGTCCTCATCTCTGACCCTCAGTCACTCACTCTGCATGTGCTGTGAATTAGAATGAACTCGAGTTTCTGTTTTGCATTCAGACTTTATGCTTTTATTAAGCTTTCTGTCCAAAATGCTTCTCTATACCTTAGTCCTGCTCCTCCTGCTCCTCATTCTCGTTCCCCAGGACTCTTTTGCTTCCCTGAGGAAAGAGGGGGTGATCTCCACTGCAGCACGGGCCTCCTCAGGAAATGCGCTGGGAAGGAGGAGAGGGAGGCAGGTCCCTCCTTAGTCTTGCCTTGTGGGCCTGGGTCTTCACCCTGGACCTTCTCAGACCTCTGACCTCAGCTGGGCAGGAGTGGGCAGGAATCCACAGGGTGTGTACCTCCAGTGAGCAAGGGTGAGCAAAAGAACCTCAAAACGGAACCTAAAACTCTCTAGGGAATAAGGCAGTGTGCAAAAATAACATGAAAGGAAACAGGTGGTAGAAGATGTTCTCTGCACACCGGGGCCAGCCTCTCAGAGGGGCAGCTGTGTGCAAAGGCTGAGCTGGAGCGCCCCCTGGTGGTCACCCAGACACCCTTCCTGGTCTGGCCCAGAAGCCGGCCCTGAGCCTGTCTTCAGCTGCTCCAGGGAGAGCCAGGATTCCAGGCTGAGGCCTCAATCTCTTGGCGAGGATTGTTAAGGTCTGGGCCCGGAGACCCCACATATGCTTTCAGTGGACAGAAACTTCCAACTAAGGCAGAATAACCCTTGCCTGTTGGGTTCAGTGAGGGGAGAACAACCTGGCTAGGTTTGCTCCTTGGGCAGCCTGTTCTTGGTTTCCACTGTGCCCAGGAGCTGAAGTAGGTTTCCCAAAGGCCTGGCAGTCGCTGTGGGAGGGTTTCCACAGCGACGGGTGGCAAAGCCTCAGAAATCTATTGGTTATCTCTGGAGGAACAGGACCTTGGAAGGTGCCGGTGTTAGACTGAGGCCACAGGTACATGTGTGTGCATGCACTTGTTCATGCATGCAGGTTTGCGATTGTGTGCACAGGGGTGTGTGCACTGGGTATTGCACAAAAGCATGGAAATGCGCTGTTAAATCGGTTTTGCAGCGGCCCTAGAAAGAGTTCAGTCAACCACGGGAGAGCCAGAGAATGGCGCCGGGAGGACACAGCCAGGAAAGGGGGAAAAGAGAGGTGGTGCCTGTGGACCCCAAGTCTCTCAGTGCCATTTCTGGGGACTCCCCCACTCTGTGATGTCACTGTCACTTTCTCTGGCATCTGTAGTGTACTCTAGGTTTTGACCCCGTGCCATGCCCTTTGGTGCCCGTGGGGCCCTGAGTCTGGCCCTGTGTGCCCCTGGATAAGTCCCTTCATGTCATGAGCCTTGGTTTCTCTACATGTACAATGAGGCTGAAGCAGATGGTCTCCTTCAGAGGCAGGGATGCCCAGAGACCTCCTGGAGAGGGGCTTCCCCAATGGTGCTCAGTCTCCCCGATGTTTACAGCTCAGACTCCCATGTGGTCTGAGCACAGCCCCCGGCCCCTGGTTAATCCACCTGAAGAATCTGAGGTTCTGAGTGGAAAAGTCAGTTGCCTGGGGTCACAGCCACAGAGCAGTCAGGGCAGCCAGTGACAGAGCGCCCTGCAGTTGCTAGGAAATGCTGGGCCTGACCCCCTCCTCCAGTTGTCTTCAGACCCCCCGCCCCCATTGGGACCTCTGCTTTTCCTGGGGTACTTTCTGTCCCTGGCTTCATTGTCATTGTCACAGGAGTCCATGTTGTGCCGCAGAGACCTGGGGGTGGGAGAGACCATTACCCCCCTCACCCTCACCTCCCAGCTGTCAGGGTCTCTCAGAAAACTGAGAACAGGCAGGGAGCATTGCCCTGAAAATACACAGCGAGGGCCTCCCTGGCCACGCCCCGGGCGCCCTCCTCCCAGGCATTGCTTTGTGGAATGCTGTTTCCCTCATCTCATAGTGAGGGCTGCTGTTCAACAGGGCACCTCTGTTTAAAGTAGCAAAATGCACCCTCTCCAGGGACAGACCTTGGTGAGTAGCGCAAGTCACTTTAATGTGAGTGGAAAGGTCCCCTTCCCAGGAACCCAGGACAAATTAGGAACTCCCCACCCTGTGGATCTGCTGCCTGGGCAGGATGGGGTGCAATTTGGAGAGTAGCCTCCAGGCTGGGCTGTGCAGGGCACAGCTCTGCACGCATTCATGGGGCTCTTGCTTGGAGAGGTTAAGCCGCCTGCTGGTAAAATGGCAGAGCCAGGACCTGAACCAGGCCTCCAAGTTCTAAATGGCACCAGCCAGTCAGCGATGCTCCACACTACACAGTTCGCGAGCCCCTTCCCCATCCATCAGCCTCATTGATCTTGCGAGGCGGGTGCAATTACTCCAATTTGACAGGCTCACCCTCTGTGGGTCCAGGCCCCTGGATGAGAGGGTGGCTCTGGGAGGCCGCCCCAGCCCCTCTTTCCTCTGACTTCCTCCCCCCAGGAAGATGTGTGACCCCGGGATGACAGCCTTCGAACCCGAGGCCCTGGGGAACCTGGTCGAGGGCCTGGACTTTCATCGATTCTATTTTGAAAACCGTGAGCAATTCCTTCTGTCTGGGGTGCCTGTTGTCTGCTCTCGTTCCGTGTCCTGCCGGATGGCACAGCAGGGTGACGGGCAGGGCCCCCGGGGCGGCTCAGGAGCCAGCGAAGAGGAAGATCCCGTGTGGACAGGGGTTGGTACCACCTTGGTTCCCTCTCCTAACCCTGGTCCGCCCGACTGCCAGCTGCCCCTCCTGTGGCTGAGGATGGGGATCTGGGATAAGCATGACAAGCCCTCCCAGCCCTCTCCTGCCCGCGACCCTTCCCATGAGGGCACACATCCAACTGATAGTCATCTTGACACCTGGGACCACCCCAGCTGCCCAACTGGTCACAAGCTGGCTTGTGGGTTGTTATGCAGGTGCCCCCTCTGGGTGGGGAAGAGGAGAGGCCCCGAGCTCACACTGCTGTGCCCTGCCTGTTTGTCTGGGTCTCTGTCCGCATGTCTGTCCTCTCTGGGCCTCTCCCCTGCAGGAGAGACCCGGCAGCTTTGCAACCAGGGGCTGTCGGGGCTGAGGCTGGGCCTGACCCAGGGTGCTTTCTGCCTGTGTCCGTGTCTCACCTTGGCCAGGGGTCAGACAGGGATGAACCAAAGCGCATGCAGGTTAGGATCACGCAGCTCAGGGCTCGGAGGAAGGCCTTGGAGGTGACATGTCCAGGGTCTTCCAAAGGGAAGGCAGGTACCACTGAGGCTTCACCAGATGATTTCCGGGGCACGTGGGCACCGCTCCAAACCACATTGGTCGTCACAGTGAGAAAGTTGGTCCCATTCTAAATTCTCCTTCAGTACATCTGGCTCCATCAAGGGGAAAGGCTCAGTTGGGTGCTAGTCTGTCTTGAACGCCCCGTAACACTTTCTAATTTCCCTCTTCATCAAAGAGAGTGGCTCAGATCTCTTGCAGGCAGGAGTGCGGAGCTAGGATTACAGCACTTCATTTCATTTCCGCTGGACTTATTAAAATCGTGTTCTGTGATACTGGTTGTCACGAATGGCTGCGCTAGAAAGTTTTCTTTTATAATATCCATTACTAAAGTGAATCGATTTAAGGAAATACTTTAATGAAGTATAGGTGGCAGTTGTAGGTTAAAATAAAGGAGGTATTTAAGTGGCTGAAGTAGGATCTAGTCCAGCTCTTCATCACACAGAAGGGGAAACTGAGGCTCAGAGAGGGGAAGTGACGTGTCCAAAGGAACCCAGAAAGTCGGTGGCAGACCCCAGTCCTGACTCACTGCAGCGCCCTGCCCTTCCCTTCCCTTCCACGTGCTGCCCCTCTCCTCTGTGCACCAGCGGTCTTCAGCTGGACACTGCTGCCTGCACCCACTCCGACTGAGTCTTACAGGGTACAGGGGCTCAAGAGCACCCCAGAAAGCTGTGAAGGAAAGCTGCATTTTCCGTGATCAGTCAAACTCTGATTCTTTAAGGCTAGCAATGGCAGTTTAATTTTCATGTGAAGAGAGGTGGCTGGACCCCTCCTCCCCCCTCCAATTGGTCCCCATCACCCTAGAGCTCCCTGGCTGGTCACCGAGGCCATCTCTCTACTGGTGTGTCCTCTGGGGGTGCTGGTTCCCCAGTGTGTACTCCAGCCTTCACAGAGCAGAGACCAGGCTGAGCTGGCTCTCAGGGCTTGGGGAGCCAAGGGAAAAGAACACAGAGAGAAGCTCGCGTAGCCCTTGGCCTGCGGCATCGCCCCAGCCCCCTAAACTCTAAGCTTCACCATCTGGTCACGTCACAGGACCCCTGAGAGCAAGACCCAGAGTATCTGCCTGCTTCTGGCCGAGTCCCACTCTACTCCCTGCCTTTTCCTGCTGGAGGCCCCGGCGGCTTTCTCCCATGCTATCCACCACGGCAGATGTTAAAAGTCTCCAGCCTATTCAAGAGAAACAGCATCAGGGTGGTTGCTGCTTTGAGAAGACCCCTCAGGACCCCCGCCCTCGTCACCAACATCAAGGCCCAGTGCCCTCAGCAATGCGAAGCCCTGTCTGCCCCCCCTGGGATTGTTCTAGATTGCTCTAATTCAGTCCCACAGAGACACTGACTTCTTTTAGGTTCTACTGCTTTTCTTTCAAAACCTGGCCCAGCTTAGAACAAGTCAGGTTGCTTCTCTGGACCTCAGTTTCCAGATCTGCTAAATGGACGCATTAAACTAGACCACCTTGACTACCTTCAGCTCTGGATGCTGTCAAGGATGCTTACGGAGGCTTCCTTGCATTTGGAGGAGGGCCACTGGTGACCTCTGACCTCTGAGGTCACTCCCAAGCCTACAACACAAAAGCTGTACATTCTCTCTACGAGCCCAGAATTGTAAAACTACATTAGTCTACATATCTAAGACTCAGTGATTTTGAGTCCTTTATCCAAAGCCTGGGTAGCGTGCGATTATAATATTAGGGGTGGATACTATTGGAGGCTTTCTACAGTCACGGGGGAAAGGAAGACATTTTAGATTTTTCAGGAAATCAGTGACTCACAAACCTGGCTGGGCATCAGAATCAGCGAGGGTGGGGAAGGGGACAGGGGCTTCTTAATAGTACAGATTCTTGAACTGGCATCTCCAAGGGGGGACGTGTGCTTTCTGTGGGGTTTGGGCCTACCTTTGGGCTATACGAAGGGAAAGCTAAGGGTTATTCCCGAGACCCTGTCCAGTCCCTCCCTGGGTCATCATCATCTTTCTGTGCTTTTGTTTTCAATCTTGCTGGAAAAAATAAGAATTCCTAGAATCAAATAAGTAATAATAATAATGATAATAATAGCTAATATTTTCCATAGAGAAAGATGTTTCAGATCTTTCAAAAGATGCACTTGTCAGTCCTATGATTGTAAGAGCTATGCATTTCTCTCTAACTCTGGAAAGCTCTGTGACCTCACCCTATGAACCGCAAATACCATCCTTACAATCCCAAGAGTCAAAGGTTCTACAATCTTAATATTCCCCAAGTTTCCTTCATTCTACATGTTGCGAGCAGTGGTGTCCAATGAGGGGCCCACAAGCCATACCTGGACTGCACACATGTTTTATGTGGCCTGCATGACGTTTTAAACTTGAATTAGATGCCAATAATTAAAAATGAGACATTTCCACATAAAAATCCAGATTTTCTGATTCTCTTGAAAAAAGTCAGAAAGTGTGGCACCAGGGGTCCCAGTTACTCACATAGCAACCTCTAGGGGAGCTGTGTACAGGGCGCCCCCTGTGGATGGAATGTGGTCAGCTATTCACCAGTGTCCACCACTCGCTATTGTCTCCCTCACCCAGAGGCAAGTGGTCAGTTGTCATTTAGCATTTTGTACCCAGCTCAGCCCCTCACTTATGTACTTGCCTGGCCTCTGTAGGCATCTGGGTTCGAGACTCTGGTCTCAACTGATTTGATTCTATAATCATCTAAGTTCTCTTTTTCTGTGTCTGAGACACTATGGTTCTAAAATTCCATTTCCCTGTGCTTGAAGACGTCAGGGTGTCTGAAATCCATCATCCCTAAGCGGGGATGTGACCTAGTCACCTAGGAGTTCTGCCTCGACACCCAGGTGGCTGAGCCCTGTCACGGAGATGAGGCAGGCAGAGGGGCTCCCCTGGGAATGTGCTGGGAGTTGGGGGAGTGAAGGACACGAGGCACAAGTCCCTCAGTTGCATCTGCTCTGCTCACTCCCGTCCCCGCCTGCAGTGTGGTCCCGGAACAGCAAGCCTGTGCACACCACCATTTTGAACCCCCACATCCATCTGATGGGCGACGAGTCAGCCTGCATCGCCTACATCCGTATCACTCAGTACCTGGATGCCGGCGGCATCCCCCGCACGGCCCAGTCGGAGGAGACCCGCGTCTGGCACCGCCGGGATGGCAAATGGCAGATTGTCCACTTCCACAGATCTGGGGCGCCCTCTGTCCTGCCCCAGTAAGAGCCCCTCCTTCCTGCCTCATCATTAGGACCATCTAAAGGGAGGCCATGGGATGGGAGCGGGTGGACCGCGGGAGGAGACCAGGTCTGCAGGTCCCAGGGGAAGAGCTGGGCGGGTCCCTTAGGTGGTAGCTACCTCCATCTGAGGAGGAAGGCCAGGGCGGGTGCCGGAGGAGAATGGGGCACCTCGGATGCACCTGCATGACCGACGGCATTGTTATGTCTTACAGTTGAAGGGCCAGGCGGGGGCGCTGTACTGCAGATATCTGCTCGTCGTCGTCCTTCCGTCAGTGGAATGTCGCTGCTGGTTCTCCCACCTTGGATTTTGCTGGAATTCCCCTACTCACATCATCCCACCACCACCACCACCGTCACTTTCATACCTGCATCAAGAAAACCTACCCACAAAGCCATCACGTCTTCAGAGCAAATGGCCACATCTCCCTGCTGCCTGTCAGTCTCAGTCTCTGTCCCCAGTCAGGGCGGAGCTTCCTCAGGCTCGGGTGCCTTGGGTGCTGGCCCTGAGGACACCCCCCCACACCCCACCCCCGGCTGCCATTGGCCTGACTTGCCTTGGCTGCAGAATGCCCAGCTGTGTGTTCCCCCAGGGGCCGGGGAGTCAGGAGATCCCTGATCTCTCCTCTTCCAGGATTCCTCTGGGAAAGGCAGATGAACCCGCCACCCCTGCCCCCACCTGCCCCGTGGGAGAGAGTGAGAGAGGAGCCGATGCCAGGAGCCTCCGTCCGCAGAAGGCCTCCCTAACTCGTCTCCCGTCCCGTCCTGGCCTCCAGGCCCCCGCCTGACACTTCTCCCTCAGTGTGGGGAGCGCAATCCTCTCAGGGTGCCCCCACTCTTCTCCTTCTTCCTTCTCTGATGTTTACCTCCATCGCTGACCACCCATTCCACCCTCCATCGGGCCGGGGAATTCCAGCCCCATCATAGCTGAGGGAGAAAACCTGATTGCTTCTTGGGGGCAAAAGAAAGCAACATCTAGGTTATCACTTCTACTTGGACCGCATGCCTTTTTATAGCCAAACTCCCGTGTGTTTCGTAAATGGATCTCACGTTCACTGATATTTATGTAATAACTAGACCTCTCCATTATTGTAAGAGGATTGGGTTGGGTTGGGTTGGGTTGGGTTAGGTTGGGTTAGGAAGGGAGGTGGGAAGAGGACAGAGGGGTAGCTTTTTTCCTGTTCGTTTATTTATTTATTTTTCAATGTCACCTCTGAGATGGACTTTGTCACCAGTGGTTCCCCAGCCTCAGCGAGGAGGACCTCACCGAAATTGTGGTCCCAAGGTTCTTTTCAGGACGGAATCAGATGTCAGTGCTGATAAGACACAGTGAATGGGGGCCGAGAGCCTGGGGGAGGTTTTCAGGATGGAAATAGCTGAACTTTTCTTTGCTTGCCTCCCAAATGGGAGTCCTCACGACCACGATTCCCAAGCTTTCATCCCAGCTCCTCTGTGTGCCACCCCCAGCGTCCTCACCCGTCTCTGGCGGAGGACCCTGAGCACGTGTCTTCATCACCCACCCCTCGGTGTCTGCTGGTCCACGCAGGGCACCGGAATGTCTACTCTCCACGCCTCGTCCTGCAGCCGCGGGTTCGCATCGCTCCCTCCTTTTTTCTTTTCCGTGCTCTTGCCCTCTTCCCTGGGACTGACTCTGACGTGGAAGGCCTTGGCACACCCACTAGGATCTACTGTCTGCACTATTTTCTTTGCATGACTTTATATGCAGTAAGTATGTTGAAAAAAAAACCAGAAAAGAAGAAAAATCACAGCAAAACCAATCTACATGTTTTGGACAAAAAAAAAAAAAATAGAGGTTGTATTCTCAGCGTCCGACTCGGAAATATGTTGCTGCCTCTCTGTGCTTCTGGCCTCTGTGTGGCCGTGTTTTGCCAGCATGAGATATTGTCCCCTCTGGAGGATTTAGGGGAGGAAGAGCTGCATCCCCAAGGTTTGGAGGAGGCACTGATTCCCCCAAACCTCCCGGAGTCCTGGGTGGTGGGTGGAGCAGGACTGATGGGGATATTTGATCCAGACCTTTCTGCGTTTTCCCCAATGTGGGCTCTTCTCTCAGTTGCTGACGCCCTGGGGACAGGTGAGGCAGGCAGGCTGGGGCCACAGGCCAGTCAAGAGGCTGCCCAGGCCTCCTGGTCTCCAAACTGGTCGATCACTAGCCTCTATTCTTGGTAGAGACCCTGCTGCCGAGGCCCAGGGGTGGGCACTGGCTTGCCCCAGGCCCAGAGGGTTTCCCAGTAAGGCCCACTGATCCCAGCACCCCAGCAGCAGAGGCCTGCCTCCCTGTGAGCTGCCAGCTCCCACAGCCATGCCCAAGCCAGAGGTGTGGCCTTCCCTGGGGATGCTGCAGCCATCACGGCCAATTCTGGTCCCTTCCTCAGGCCTGGTTTCCCCATCAGTGATAGGGGTTAAGTATTCCTGCCCGGCCTGTGTTGCAGGGCTGATGGGAGAATCGAATGGGGTGGCACAATTGACGGGGTTAGGCACTGGCTGGACTCCCGTTCCGTTCTGAGCCTGGCCAGTCCCCTCCCCCGCCTGCCCGCTCATTCTCCTCGTTCGTTCGTGCCTGTCGACTGCTTATCAGCGGTGGACTGCGGGGGGTGGGGCAAGAGCTGTGGTTTGGGGGTCTTTGGGATTCCATTCCCAGCTCTGGCCAGACTTGCTGTGTGACCCCGGGCAAACCCTTTCCCCGCTCTGGTCCTCACTTTCCCACCAGAGGAAACTGAGCTGGAGGACGCCGAGGTCCTGCCTCCCATTTGCTGACACACTTCCTGCCCGCCATGTCCCGCTCCAAGTACCAGGGAAGTGGAGGCAGGTCCTTACCGCAGGCTGAGATGGCCCCAGTGTGAAGGCCTCGCCTGCGGGTGGGCGGGCGGCCAGCCGGTGTGGACTGCAGGGCACCGGCGCTGGCACCCGTGTGATCCTGAGGCAGCAGGCAGGGGAGACGGACGGACCACGCAGCCCAGAGCCCATGCCCCTCCCTCCCCCAAACACAGTCAGCTCTGTGCTCCTTCCAAACATCCTATAGATGCAAAAAATCCAGACCTAAGACAAGGCCTAGGTCCCAGCATGCAAACACGTTTACAGGAAAGCATTCTCCCGGGTTCGTGCCCACGTGGCGCTAACCCTGACCATGGCCTCCCGTCTCCCTTCACGGGAAGACCCTCTGGGGGGATGTGTTTGCCAGGCTCCCCATGCTGGTTTCTTTGTTACTATTTGTTTGGGGTTTTGTTTCAGTTCTTTCTTTTTTTTTCTTTTCTTTTCTGTTTTTAAAAATATGTGGCTGTGAACTTGAATGACCACTGCTCAAACTTTCTGCTATTGGGGGGGAGGGGGGGAAGGAGGGGCGTCTGTTTTATTCTTGGTGTTTTCAGTGCAATAAATAGCTACAAACTTCTGTGCAGGCTGTCTCCCTGTCTGAGTCGAGCACACGCCGGGAGGTTGTTTCCTGTTCTGGATCTTCCTAGATGCAAAATGAACACCCAGGCCTTCATTGTGATTGGACCAACTTGGTCACATACTCAAGGCTGAGCCAATCACTGAGACATTATGCCTGGGCCACATGCCACAACCTTAGAGACAGGGATGGGGCTCTCAGGCACCTGGGGGCCCTTAACAAAAGCAAAGGGGTTGCTCGAAGGAGCCAACAGCGAAGTCTCCCTCGGAGGCCTGGGGGGAGGCTCTTCTCCTCCAGGCCTGGGTTCCTTGGTTCCTTTTATAACGAGGAGGTTGTTCCAGAAGTCCCTCCCCACCCATTCTGTTCCCTCAGCCCAACTTCACAGACAAGCCCCAGGCCTCAGAGCCCCTGGAGACTGAATTGGACAAGGGTCTTTTTACCCACAAACTATCTGTGGACAGAGTGCATGGGGACAGGGGCCTTGGGGCTGGACAGAGGGAAGGCGTGAGAGGTTCCACTGGCCCATTTGAGGCCACATTTGAGGCCAGTTCGGTTCCTTGAGCCCAAGATGCTCAAATGGAGCCAGGGGGTAATGCAGAGGCTTTGGTGACCCACCATCCTGGTTTGCAGGCTGGGATTTTCAGTGCTAAGCCTGGGACAGTCTTGGGCAAACTAGATGGGTTGGTCGCTCTAAGCCAGGGGTCCTCAAACTTTTTAAACAGGGGGCCAGTTCACTGTCCCTCAGACCGTTAGAGGGCCGGACTATAGTTTAAAAAAAAAACTATGAACAAATTCCTATGCACACTGCACATATCTTATTTTTAAGTAAAAAAACAAAACGGGAACAAATACAATATTTGTACTTGCATGTGGCCCGCGGGCCATAGTTTGAGGACCCCTGCGCATGTCCCCTAAGAGGTGTAGATTCCACAGGACCAGGGAATGCGCCTTCTGGAGCCCACAGCCCCCTCTTGCTCATGCTCCTGGTGTCCCGGGGTTCCAAAATGTTTGCACCAACCACTTTCTGGGTCTACCCTCGCTACTGCTATGTGGGGTGGCCAGGGGGCGTGTCATGGGCATGTGCCCCTAGCACACACGTGAGGACCTTCTCAGTGAGAGCAGAGGCCAAGGCTGATTGCAGAGGGGCCTGGGGGCTTCCGCTGACACTCTTGCCCTGGAGCCTGCAAATCTTAGTGCCAGGCCGCCCAGCTCTGCCTTCATGAGCCCTGGATCTGCCGCCTGGGCAGAAGGCAGGGTTTGAGGCTGGGGGTGCCATTGCAGACACTTGCCAGCAGGTGGAAGCACAGGAGCAGGTTACAGGATGTCCTGGGCCCCGTGGGGCTACTGTGCTCTGGGCGCTCCCAGTTGACCTTTAACTCTCCAACAGTGCCAGCTCCACTTAAAACTCTATTATTAGCTAATGGAGCATGACCTTTTATAGTTCACAGGCCTCTCACCACACCTCTTGTCCCAGCCACAACAGCCCTGTCCTGAAGATGAAGACAATGAGACTCAGAGGCAAAGGCTTCTCGCAAGACAGTCAGGGCTCCAGGGCTGGGTTCCGCTTCCTCCAGGATCTCCCTGCCCTGGCCCGTTTCCCGGTCTCGTCTCCGGGCAGCCAGCACATAGTGACTGGGGTTCTTAGGAACTCATTTGTCCCTTCCAGCTATTGCCTCATGTCTCAGTTGTCTACACCCGCCGTCTCCACCTCCTCACTGCCCATGTGCTTCAAAACCCACTGCAGATGGCTGGTTACCCCGCGTTCTCCTGCTCAGCCCAACACCTCCTTGCCCTCAGGACACAACTCTGGTATCTTCTTGGGGAAGGCTCCCCTTCTCTCCCAACACACACCAGGGTAGGTCCTTCTATGGGCTCCCATGGCTCCTCTACCACCTCACACAGCCCTCTGTTTTTTTGTTTGTTTGTTTTTTATATTTTATTGATTTTTTACAGAGAGGAAGGGAGAGGGATTGAGAGCCAAAAACATCGATGAGAGAGAAACATCGATCAGCTGCCTCCTCACACCTCCTACTGGAGATATGCCCGCAACCAAGGTACATGCCCTTGACTGGAACCGAACCTGGGACCTTTCAGTCCACAGGCCGACGCTCTATCCACTGAGCCAAACCAGTTAGGGCACAGCCCTCTGGTTTGAAGTCACCTTAGCAAGCATCTGCCAACCTATGCACTCCTTGAAGTCTCGACAGCATCTCATCCAGGCTCAGGCCACAGGCAGCAGGTGTCGTCACTCTTACAGGAGGAGACCCCTGGCAGATCTCTGCTGCTGGAATGAAGGAGAACTGGCTGCTGTGGGGGCTTGAGCTTTACACCCACCTCTGCAATAACATCTGCACACCCTCCCTCCTTTATGTGAGCTCTCACCCCTCCTCTGGGCATGACTTTTCTCTTCACCCCATGAATGAGGAGCCTGTGGTGCAGACGGTGAAGGAACCAGTCCAAGATGGCCCCACATGTGAGGGAGGGAAGTGAGATTCTGACTCTTGGCCACTCTAAGTTCCAGGCTGCAGCCAACAGGGCCCCTGTCCCAGAAATCCCTGACCCCAGCCCAGGAAGCATGAGCCATGCAGAGCCCAGAACTCAGGGCAGGTAGGGACAGGGGCTGGACCTGGAGGTGCAAAGTGTGTGGAAGCCAGAAGCAGCAGGAAGTGCGTGGCAGCAGCTGGGGGTCCTGGGGGGCTTTGTGCAGGTGCTGGATAGGTTGGCATGTGGGGGAGAGTGGAGGCAAAAGCTGAGGGGTCAGGGAGAAGGGGCTGGGGAGGAGGCTGAGGAAGGCCAGAGTGTGCCCCAACCTACTGTGCTGAGGGCATGCCTTTCCAGGGCACGGGTGGGTCCCCAGCAATGGAGACGGCCTTCCCCACCGTGAGGCCCTAGTAAATCTTTTAGGAAACACCCCCCAGCAGGTTCTGGGAGTGTTTGCACAGGGCAAGGCCGAGCAGGCCCAGTCCTGTGGGAATGGCCTCCTCTCCTGTCCTTCCCCGGGGGCCAAGCCCCACCCTTCCTTCTCCACCTGGGCCTGCCAAGGTCTCAGAGGCCACTTCCCCCTGGGCAGCCTGGCCCCGCCATCCCTTCCTGGGCCCTGTGCCACAGCTGGGGGTGGATAGAGCTGTCTAGAGGTAGACTATTCCTTCCCCTCAAGAAAAGGGGGGAATTATCATCAACCCCTGCCCCCCACCATGTGCCCTACCCTGGTGGGGTTACTTTCCCTCTCTGGATCTCAGTTTCCTCATTATTACTACAATGGGGTTGAACCTGTGTCCCCAAATACGGGAACTGGGCTGGCTGCCACAGAGTCGTCCCAGGAGTTTGCTAAAAATACAGATGTTTTAGGCCCTACCCTTAGAGAGTAGGCTATGTGACGGCTGGGCAGGGCTCCAGGCAGCTGTAGTTTTAGTAAGCACCCTGTTTGGGAATTCTAAGCACCCCCTTCCCCAGTTCCCACAGTCACACTGGAGCTGGAAGATCCAGTTATCGGCAAGCCCCACCCCAGCCTTCCCGCTTCCCCATGGCGCTCTCCTGACTCAGCTAGGTCAATATTGACCATAGGCCCCTCCCCTGCCTCTGACTCTCAAGCCACCCCAAAGCCCCATAGCTGAGACCCTGACCTCAGGTCAGCAGAGTCAAGGTCAAAGTGACGCTTGGGGCCCAGAGGGTTTTATTGCTGTCCCACTCCCATATCCTCCTGGTTTGGCAGGGGGTCCAGGCTCCCCGGAGAAACCACAGGGCCCCTAACCATTAACTCCATCTGGCAAGAGGAGCCAACCCCCAAGTCCAGCTTCAGAGAAGGGGCTCTGCTCCCCCTGCAGCCCTCCATGATGGGCTCTAGCAGAAGGCTGAATTGGGCAGGTGGCTCCCTTCTGTCCACGGCTCTTCCCCCAGGCACCTCTATGGGGCACACTGTTTCTGTCCATTCATTACAGATGGACACACTGAGGCCCTGCTTCCAAGGCACCTTGTCATGGAACCGAAAGGTGCCGGCAAGCCCTGGGCCGCTATCTTGGCTGTTTCTGGCTCAGAGCAACACCACTCCTGCCCTCCTTCTGCTGGGTTGGCTGGAGGCAGGAGATGGGCCTTAGTTTCTTTCTTTTTTTCTTTTTTGTTGTTGTTAATCCTCACTCTAAGATATATATTTTTTTCCCATTGATTTTTAGATAAAGTGGAAGGGAGGGGAAGAGACAGAGAGAGAAACATTGATGTGAGAGAGACACATCGACTGGCTGCCTCCCACACGCACCCCGAGAGGAGCCGGGGATCAAGCCTGCATCAGAGGTATGTACCCTCAGCTGGAATGGAACACTCAACCCTTCAGTCTGAGAGTTGCCACTCTAACCACTGAACAAAATGGGCTAGGACAGTTTCTTTATCTAAACAAGGGCCAGCAGGCTCATGAGAAACCCACCCGGAGGGTTTCTATATGGCGTGTTTTTCTCTCAGCACTCTGATCAGTTTTTGAGCAGTGGATCCCAGACAGGCGATGTCCAAGTTGGCCTCGGCACCTACCTGCTACAACTCTCGAAGAGATGCAGCTCAGAGATGCTGTGGACTTTACGGGAAAAGGCATCCTTTCCCCCAAATAAAAGTAATCTTGGAGGGAGTGTAGGGAGGAGGCCTTCG